TTCATTTCATTGGAAAGTTAGTATTTGAACGACACACTAATCGTCCTGCTAGAAAACCTATAAAATCCTAAACTTAAATGTAATAGTTATCAACACCGCCAGGTAATAAGCATTTTGAAACTGAAACACAATCATAATGAGTTATATGAGTTATATACAGTGGTGGAATTCAGCCGGTTCGCAACGGTACTATAGAACCGTCTCACGGAATTTTATGAGATCAGCTAACCGGTTAGCATTACTGGTTACTGTCAATGTTCTGTTTGTAACAGAACCGGCTGAAAAATATGGCTTTTGTGAAGGAATCGGCTGACAAAAAATTTGAATTCCATCACTGGTTATACATGTAAAACAATTTTACTTCCAACAGTGATGCCGTATCGTTGCAAGCGTATGGACCAATTCTTCCGCTGTCAACACAAGTTCGGTTTCGCTGCCTCATTCCCGGGCATTCACAACTTCCCCAAGACTCCCATGATCCCCAATTCCAGCCTGCAGAAACATGCAGATTAAAATAATAGTTATATATTTTACAACCGAGTATTTCGAAGCAGTATGATATCAGTAAATTTAAATCAAGATGAAATGTTAATATAATATGAGCGGTAGAAAAAATAGCATAGCTGTGCTAAGTATAAATAGCGATGAGATGACATTATGAAAACTTTAAAACATTATCAAAATCTTTCCTGCACTTATAGCTAATCGAAAAAAGTTTTGTACTGAATATTTTAGATGAAATTCAGCTGGCAGGTTTTTGGCGGTTTTATCGAAAACTGAGAATGCTCCTGACAGTAATTTACTGATATTGCGCAACTGCTTTCTTTAATAAACATAATTTATCCAGTTAAATTTGAAACATTGGACCCAGTTAACCCAATTCTCAATTTTTTGTAGGAGAACTGACTCAAAGAAAAGTCAGTCGCAATCACTCGAAAAATGTAAACTAGTGTCTGATTAAAATGCGGGCAGTCGCAGAGATGCCAAGTGCCACTGAAATCAAACGGTATTTTGATGGTACCATAAGCAAAATCGAATACCTGATGATGTGATACTTGAAACACTTTAAATCAATGCTATAATAAACTACGAGGCAGTAAACATGGCATGAATAAAATTGACTAAATTGGAGTCAATGTCATTAAAATATATAAATATTTATTTGTATAAAGAAATAGGAATTGAGTGGCAAATTTACTATACATTTATTACAAACAAAGTTTGTTACCGATTACTCGTTGACAGACATATCCAGTTGGCGAATTCGCAGCGCAATTGACGTCATACCACGGTAGATTTAAAAAATAAGCGTTAAACCATCCCATAGCAACACAAGGTTCAGGTTTATCAATAGACGGTTCTCCTGAGTTCCAGTTAGTGTAAGTTAGTTCCGAATTGTCATTCCATATGAAGGTATTGCTTGTGCCAACTTCCTTTAATCCAATATAAAATCCATAGGGTTGTCCTGTAGACAATAAAATGCTTTGTAGCAGAATTTGCTAAATTGAGCAGTAAAAAGCATTAATGACGTTTGTGTTGCTACATTGATGAAACATTATTCTTCCTCATCCTTTCTTCTGGTTCGACACATAAATTGATTCGGCATACGGTAGGGGTCCGACAAAACTACGATTCACAAATATGGGTACGCGACTTAAAAAGTTTGGGAAACCCTGCTTCGGATTAATGGAAAGGGTATGTAAGGTTGTATGTAAACATGGCTGGTTAGGACTGTTGGACATAATTAAAAACAGGTGCAAATATGTAAAGACTGACGAAAATTCTCAGACAAACGTATTGAGAATTCTAACCCAAATCACGAAACGCATGAACAAAGATAAAGACCATAATGTTAAATAATCATAAGCAATTTCATTTCGGGATTTGGGGTAAAACGTGAAACGTCCTGTTTACCTGAGGTAGCTGAGACTTGATTCCGAATAAATGTTTGAATCTCGATAGTTTTTATCATTGCCATCTCACCATCATTGTTTTTACAGAATGTTTCACCATCAGCATATGGTTTTATATCATTTTCGCCAGATACGTAGTATTGGTAACTTCCAAATGCATTCCACTCACCTCTATCTTGTCGTAAAACAAAGGTTTATGAATAAGCACATAATTTGAAAGACATGATATATAATATATACCAACCTGCGTTAACGACAGCAATCATCCAGGCAAATAATTCAGTGTATATAAAAAGTTTCTCATTCATTTCCGCGGCTAAATATATAACATTTCTAACTTTCCTCATAACATTACAATTTGAATACGAAAATTGAAATAAAACAAGAATGGTGTGTATTTGCGAGCTGCGAACGCTTTCATCTTTTTCTTTAAAAAATGAGAATATTTGAAATAGTGTTTGGTTAGGTTTGAAAACTAACAACAAATTTGTCTATATACCGTGACTTAACGCCCTGACTGTGAATGCAGCTTTGTTTAATTCAGCAGAGAATCCTGTGGAAAACTAACGACATAAACTTTTCATGACAACATTGAAACATCAAAAGCTATGACCGATTAGATAACACTACTAAATTTCTTCCAAAGCTAATAATACAACTTTATTCAATACTTATGAAAGGGTGATTTGTTCGCCCATAATAACATTGAATATAATTATTCAAAAATCTTCGATACTAATTTGAGTACACTGCGACTAATTATCAAATTTCTAGCCACATTACTTTCAGTATCAGAAGAATGATGCAGCTGAAACCTTAATTCGACTCGCCAGGATGAAATCATAAGCAATATGATATAACATTTGTTAGATCAGTCAGTTCTTATCTTACAACAACTAAGTCTAATATGAGTAATAAAGGTAATATTTTTATAAATGAAAAAATAAATCAAATTTTTGTGGGGGACAGAATGAAACTTCCTATTACGAGTGGGATGTTTCAATAACCTGTAAAGAAAAGATTAACGACGAATATGCTTCAGAAGACGAAACCTATTACAAAGCTACTTAGCAATGTTATAGCATTATTCAGTCACTCATGTTCGTGTTATATATTGAGCAAACCTTATTCATAAAGAAACATCGTGGCATTTTAAAAACTGACAACACGCAGATATCGAAATGTGGAAAATTAACAGGGTTGGCCTAATACTATTTATTGTAATTTCTACGCAACAATTAGTTAATATTCTGAAAATACATACCTGAATTAGATTTTAATATACGAATTGTTTCAAATATTGGCCGAATTGTTTTCATATGATATTCTTGATTCTGGTTTTACCAATCAAATCAATTTATTCGCCTATGTTGAAAATGATATTTTTTCATCGTATGTTTGTCTTTGTAGTATATGACTAGGAACTCACAAAATAAATAATATTTATTTCACTACTGACACATATAAACTCTTGAATGAATGAATGAATGAATGAATGAATGAATGAATGAATGAATGAATGAATGAATGAATGAATGAATGAATGAATGAATGAATGAATGAATGAATGAATGAATGAATGAATGAATGAATGAATGAATGAATAGCTTGTTTGCTACATTGATTGGCTCATTAATTGCGCTTTGACTTCTACTGCAGAAGCGACGATAACCATTACTATGGCCTTCTTACCAAGGAAATGCATGTCGAGAAAGCAACAACGGAGAATATGACTAATCTAAGCAGAACGAAGATGGAAGTTACACGTACCACAACTATTAGAATATTACATGAATATCCTGACAACTTTATAAGCAAAGCCAGGTAAAGCGATGAATATTGTGGGCTATACTAGAGTTTTAACCTAATAAATGTATAGTAATCTCTTGTGACCGACTGCTGTGCTATCGTAAAGCAAAGCCAGGTAAAGCGATGAATATTGTGGGCTATACTAGAGTTTTAACCTAATAAATGTTTAGTAATCTCTTGTGACCGACTGCTGTGCTATCGTAAAGCAAAGCCAGGTAAAGCGATGAATATTGTGGGCTATACTAGAGTTTTAATCTAATAAAAGTTTAGTAATCTCTTGTGACCGACTGCTGTGCTATCGTAAATGACAGAAGGATTATTTAACCATTATTAAAAATACATTATTTGATATTTGTAGAAAAACTATTTATTCATAAAATAATAAATCCATGAGTTCAAATCAACTGCATTTTGTGGAACAAAAAAAAATATTCATAAAATTCTAAAATTTTTGTTGAAATAAATGAACGATTGTTGGTAAATGAGATGAATTCAGGTTTCAAGTTACACAAAAAAAAAATTAAATTATATGTAACAACATGATTTCTCGAATATCATTTTTTTCCCAAGGGTTGTAATTAGACACTTTTATTTTTCATTGCAGAAATGAGTGTAACATTACGATGATGACTTGTGCAACAAACACTATTTTCTGAAAGTAGAAGTGTGAGCTACATATTTAGTGACGACTTGTGTTTATTTTGTATGTGTATGTGATTCGTTCAATCTATTCGAATTTGAGTCAGTTTTTGGAAAGTTTAACGAAATTTGATTCAAAATTACGATTATATATTGTAAACTGTATTTTAGAGATACACTAAGATAACTGTTTACGTACTGACGTTTGCGCAAATGATTCACTGGAATAATTAGTCATAAAAAATGAACCTTGGTGATCCCCTCGCATATAATTGATCACAGTATAGTTAAATCTGTATTCAAGTTGCATTTGTTTGCATTTTTGTTTATCAGTGCATATTATAGCCACCTGTGCTGTATATTTAAAAATATGAAAATTTCGCATTGTGACTAAATATCTCAAACCGAAATTAGTATAGCGATACCAAACAGTGATATGTAAATGGGGCATTGGAGTATGTATCAAGCGCACGTATTTAACTTATTAGACATATTTTAAATTTCAATAAAATATGAATAAATAATATACTAGTGGCAGAAGTAACTGAATGCCAAGGATTTATCAATTCTTTGGAACAAGTTTTTTTTTAATGTTTTGGCATTTTCATTATCATTCTGTTCAACATATTTTTCAGAGCAATCATCCGCAAAGCATTACAATCTATATTTGAATTTTGTCAGCTTATAGGATTTAGAAGAATGAGAATTGAATCAATATTTTTGTTTATTCTTCTTCAATACCCGAGGCATCTGAACGCAGCAGGTATTATTTTTTTATTGTTATGACTTTTTTAGGAAATTTGCTAGAAACAAAGTCATTCATTCAAGGAAAAGGGAGCTTGATCACTGATCAATGTTAGTGCAACCACGAAACGCCATCAAGAAATTTTGAGACGTTAAGAGATTGAAGCATAGAATTGAGCGTTGGTTAATACCGATGGGCATGAGGCCTAAAACTAACTGAATTTAACGGCTGAAAACTTTTAGAGGGACAATATTCAAAGATTCAAAAGAAAATTTTAAAAGCGGTAACAACGGTTGTCTGACAATGTGAATGAGTTTAGAAAATATAGGATTACATTACATCTCAAATATTAATTTATTTTGCCAGCATGTCGTGAAACGCCCATGGATCTTGTATTTGTGCTGGATGGATCGGGTTCCATCAGAGATGAGAATTGGGAGCTTATGAAGTCATGGGTCAAGTTGGTAGCAGAAAATTATGACTTAGGCGGATTAACACAGATTGGCATCGTTCAGTTCTCACACTGGTTTCCAAATGAAAGGTAAGCTTAGAAAGATATAATCATTCAACAAATCAACGTCAATAAAGTAAGATTTTCATTTTATTCATATTGTAAGCCGAATTTATAATTTTTCTTTAAATTATTCAAAGCAACTGCTCAATCAATTAAAATGAATTTACCTATAAACAGCTGCCATGCCATGAATGATTTTTTTCAAGCGTCAGACCATGAATGTAGCTTCAAAAATTTTCTGACTTAAGTAATGAGCTGTATTGAATATTGTAAAATTTTTGGACATGTTAGTGGACATAACGATCGTTTCGTTATTATGTTATTGTTGTTCTTGTTGTTCTTTGTCATAGGAAAAAAATCGTTTTTCTCTTTGATCACTGGACCAATCGCTTTGAAATTTAAGTGCCTAATTTTTTGCTAGAAGGCTATTACTTTGATTTATTTTAAATATTCAAGTGAGCTGTATGAAATTCGTTATTTTGTGTGCTATGACGTCATCAAAGTTTGCTACCATGTGGCGCTACGTTTCCATATATTGAGCATAGCTCTCTTGTTTTAATTACCCAAAAAGTGTTAATTTTAAACTTTGCCATTTTGTTGTTCCACTTCGCTTCGTGTTTTCACTGCTTTTATTTGAGTACAGTCAGCATACATTCTTCCAAAATCATTTTCGGCCTTTCTTTGGGTTTTCGAATCCATTGTCATTCAAACACAAAATATGATAAAATGATTTTCATTTTTTTTAACAGCGCACAGCCATATTTAAAAACTGAAATACAGCTCGGAAAACTGAAGACTGAAGCCCAATTCAAGGTAAAATATTCATCGAGCGTTGAATACCGCTGAGAGGGGCAGCGTCACGGTACGATCAGACGAGAGTGCTTGCTGATAATGTCTCAAGCATGGTAGAATAAAAAGTATTTTTCTATAAATAAAATACAATGGTGAAATTTCGAGTTAGTTATTGGGCGACATGGGTGTCAAAAAAAAATTAAAAAAAACAGCAATATCATTCGTAAAATCAAAAATACTAAAAACCAAAATTCAGACGGACTTCTTTTTTTTTTTTTTTTTTTTATATATTCATTAATATATAAAACACAATTGATCGGTACATCTACAACAATCACTAATCATGAACAATACACAATTCATCATATAAAATAATCAGTAAATGTATCATAAAATTTTCCATTTTTGATCAGACGGACTTCGTGTGTACACGAAATGTAGTTTCCCAACAATGCTATTGAGCTAGTGTGGAGTCACCTTCTATGCAGAATAGAATTTAAAGGAAAATTTGTCGTATGATTTATCTTATTAAAAAGATTTGTTCACAAATGTGTGATATTTAAATATATCAAAATGCAATTAGCTTCAAAATAATAACTTGAACTGAGTATTCCTTAGGCCGCTGTTGACGAAATATCAATTCATGGATTCACAACTTACACTGCACATGCTATCAACAAAACAGTGAATGAAGATTTCATGAGATCTGATCGTTTTTATGATGCTTCAGTGAAGAAAGTCATTATTTTATTTACAGATGGAAGGTAATATCTTGTGTGAACAATGTCTGAATACACGTAAAATGCACCTTTGAATCGTATCGTTAACTGTTGTTAATGTTTTTGTTATTATTGTTAATGTTCACGGTTCATGTAATGGTAGTTAGCAGAGTTCTTTTGATATATCCGTATATTTAGCCCCTTTGTTTTTCAACTTGGGTTTCTGCGCGATATATATTATTTTTATACCATCAAGATATTAGTTGTTGAAAATCTAAATAAATGTTATTTCAAAGCTGATTACTACTTTATTATTTACCAAATTATTCTAATCTTAGACATCCAAAAATTAAGAAGTAGTATAAAACCGTTTTTGTTTTGCTCGATTTATTGAAGGTATGCTCGTGTAACAAGTCTTAAATATGTATGTAGATTGTAGATGGTTATAGATAATTTTTTAAATCTTTTGAAGATCTACCGACAGAAAAGATTTGCTTTCGTCAGCAAAATATGCTCGGTCAAATGGGATTACTATATTTGCAGTTGGTGCTGGAGGTTATGTAATGGAGGAATTACAGGTAATCTGAAAAGTTGTAACAAATTGAAATAAGAGAAATTTTATGTATCAATATATTATAGCTTTTCTATTTTTGTCTAATCATTATATTTCTGTGTATTAAAGATTGTTCATCAACAAGACTGAGAAAGTATAACCAAATTAGTTATCAGGATAAAACTCTTTTTGACTGAGATTGATAAGTAACAATGTAGGCTACTGTAGTTGTTTAAATGTTCTTTCTATTTGGGCATTCGTGAGTGAGACCAGCTTCTTCTCTGTTTCTTATATCTGGGATTGGCAAATCATATTTCATTCAAATAATATTTTTCTATCAAATAATTAGGCATGATGATGGAGAAATGACGTATCGCGGGAGCTCGAGCTGATATGCGACTGGCGACGTTCCATTTAATCGCTGTAACCCCAGTGGTGATGACATTTGTGGCTGCGAGCCATCGCACACTTGATTTGGATTTGTTCGCAACTACTGGATGGTGTGCGATGTAGTAACTGAGAAAACACGCAAACCTATAAGCCATACTCGCATAATAATTTCATTCTGACAAAATGTCTATAACTCTGGCGATAAATTTGTATTCAATGATTAGATAAGTTAGGACTCCATGATCCAGGAGAATTTTGAAATATTGAATAACCATCATTGTATGATACACCGATAAAGTCAACTAATACGCATTATGCACATGCACGTGATTTGCATATAAATCAACCCGGTAGACACCCAGGATCTTCGCTGATACATGAGGACCCGTTCTCCAGCAAAACATTAAGCCATGCATGCAAAATTGCAGATCAATAACGGCAGTTTATTGCGGAACTGCCAGTTTATTTGGACGCTGCGCGGCTCTTCAGCCTCTCAGATTGTGCGATTGTCTGTGGCTAATTGTCAAAACATGTTCACTTGAATTCCTAACTTTCAAGGTTTCCCCAGTTGTGGAGTATCGAAGTTAATTTACAAGAAAATATCCTAGAGCAACATCAAACAAATCAATACATCCATACGTTTGATATCAGAGCATTTTTGTTTCCCTATTGCAAACGATTGCGGGAGTGCTACCATAATACACTGCATTTGATGAACGATCGTTTGCAATGAATTTTCTTTTTACTTATTATATGGAATATTTACTAGTGACGCTCTGATTCGAGTCTTTTGCCACCATTCACGTTTTGCCTGTGCTTGAACTTATTTGAATAACAACAGAGCTAGGATTGATGGCATGGACGTGTCAAACTTTACTGCTGTCCAGTATGAGGTTATGATAATGATGTCCTCCAACTTCAAAAATAATTCGGGGGATAAACAAATTAAAGCTGTTGCTATACATGAGAATGAATAAATTAAAGGTCACGTATGAGGGGGAATGTTTGTAAATTTGTGATAAATCACTCAATGACCAGACGAGCAAAAGGGCGGTCAGCCATTGCTGATTCACCACAACCATCACAATCAGTCACACAAATCTATACACGTCATGTCAGCTTTTACTTGAATAAAACACATAGAGAAAAATGTGTGATATCGCGAACTCTACAGCTTGGATCTGCTGCCCGCTCATCCGCTGGCAGAGTGAGGATGAAATTCACTTAGTCTAAGTTGAATTAAATGTTTCAAGCATGGTCTCTACTGGCACAATAAGCCACTTCTCACATATCTCAATACCTGTATCTTAGAAAACATATTTGAGCTATGTTCAGCTATAGATCATAGTTGAATTATATCCGAGGAAATATGAACTCGACCTCGGCAAAAACAACTATGTGTTGGCATGTAATAAGACTCCAACATCCTCTTAATTTTATTTTTTAATTTGGCATTCACTGGTATGATTGTCTCCATTACGATTTTAATATTCTATTTATGTCTTTGTGTTCACGTTTAACGACATAGTTGAATTGGTATCATATGAGAAAGTATCAAATAAAACGGTAACAATTTTTTTTTTTAGTAACAATCGAGACCTAACCTTTTATTGCTTGGCTACATCGGATGTTTAAACCGAAATTGGGACAATCGTAAAATGCCCACAAGTAAAACTCCACTGGCGAATAAATTTCATATACTTTGACATCAACTTTTATTTACAGATTATTGCAAATGGCCAGATCAATAACAATGAACGAGTGATTACAGTTTCAAATTTTACTAGGCTGAATACTACGGTAGATATTTTAAAGCAAGGTATATATGCTATCCAAGGTAATGTTGATATTAATAGTCAGTTTTTTATTGAGGCTGCTACGATATGTGAGTAGCATATAATTTCGAACTACGTTTTCATTCTTTGCGCCCGAATCTAATATTGAGCCAAGACACTATAATAATTAAATGTTTCACATTTCGACATCATGAGCCGAAATGATATTTGATGTTTTTTTTGTTTAAATCAGTGGATTATAAGATGAGAGGCTTTTTGCAGGCTACCACAACAAAATCAACGATCGAAATTTATTTTCTCGTTTTCGAAAAGCATTTCGTTCAATGCGCAGAGCTAATAATAACTCATTTCCTACAGATTTTATAGCATATAATATAGAAATTAACATTCACCACAAGGTATAACTGCTGAAATGTTCAAATTAAAGAGGGAATTATATAAAATTCAAAAAAATATTTACATTCGTTTATAGCTCCCTTCATAGTGTCTCGCTACACTTGCACAACTTCATCGCTAGAAGTTCAATGGAAAACAACTACATTTAAGTCGGTCTTCTCATACAGACTTCAAATTCAGGTTAGCTTTATAAATAGAATGAAAATCATTACATTGGTCTAAACATTTTTACTGTGCGCTAGAACTTTCCATTTTATGCTAAATATCACATTTATGTATTTAACTTATAAGGATCTCAAGACCAAAGAAATCAAGAAGACAAGCGTTCAATTACTCATGAAAAAGGAACCAACAATAAAAATTCACGAAGAAAACACATCTTCGAAGTTTGCTTGCGTCACTACGACAAATTTGTATATTTCAGGAAACTACGAAATCGTTGTTGAGCAAATATCGGCAAAAACAAACAGTCAAAAAAAAACCATATCCAAAGTTCTTCACAATGCAAATGGAAAGACTATTATGCGGTTAACGTTTCTTGACTTTGTCTAAGTTATATTCCGGATATCAGACATTTTAAAAAAAAAAAAATATTTTTTACACATTCCAATTTAAAACACATGTAAATCTATAAATGTGTGCGTGTTTTTTTCATTCAGTGTATCGGTGGAAACCAAATAAACATATTAGGACAATCCATCTATTATATGCTGATATAGCCACCACCACATTCAGAGTGTAATAAACTTGGTTAGGAATGCGGAACCGGAAATATTCTTGTCCACCAAGCTCTGTTCTTTATGTATCATCGACTACTTCTGGTTTCTTATTCGAGGTAAAAGTGTGGAGAACATTTCATAAAAATAGTGCCAACTGATTACAGCTCCAAACTTGATTGGAATCCTGATTCAAATCGATAATACATTCAATTATTCAGGCTGTATTTGGGAATTTGATAATGGCAAGGAAAGCCAACATTGTTTGACAATACAATAAAACTAAGTTTAGGTGAATTGAACTAAATGTTCTCTTTGCCATTCAGATTCCAGATTCAGATTTTGTCATATAGATTATCACCATGTAAATAGATTGAAATCATGTATTCAAATTTATATGGAAAATATGTAGATTTTTTTAATATTTTTCGAAATCGTTTTCGAGATAAATTTGCTTCGATTCATTTTAAGGGAATATTTACTATGAACACATTTCACAATTATATTGGTAAATTTAAAAAAAAAATGAATGTAATAAATTTTGATTGTATTTATTTATGTATTTTCAATTTTGAAGAAAGTGCCATTACCGTTATTTTGATTTTTAGTACTAAACTATATTATTAGGCTTCCCGCTGCTTGTCAGCAGGGAACCTATTGTATTCCTGTGTTTTATTATTATTATTTATTATTATTTATTATTATTTATTATTATTTATTATTATTTATTATTATTTATTATTATTTATTATTATTTATTATTATTTATTATTATTTATTATTTATTATTATTTATTATTATTATTATTTTTTTTTCAAATTGGTCCTACAAACTTGAAATTCACCTCAAATGTGCAGAAGTTCTCAGCTAGCAATAAAATGCAAATTTTATGCGTGACTGACCACGCTTTCACGCTCCAGTGAGCAAAACGCGTCTTCAGCTTTTTTGCGATTTCTCAAAATTGATACATGCTATTGGGTTGAAATTCATAACAATGATTAATGGACATGTTCCGGATACGACATGTCAAGGATACGCATGAGTGACCTCGGCGATACGCTCCAGTGAGCAATATAGGATTTTACATTTTCATCTTCTTCTCGAGAACGACACTACTTAGAGACTTGAAATTTACATCACATGCAGATAATAAGTCCCTCATCATAAATTGCAAATTTTATGCATGACTGACTACGCTTTCACGCTCCAGTGAGCAAAACGCGTCTTCAGTTTTTTTTACGCGGGAAGCCTCTTAAAGCTGCACGCAGCTCTAGTTTAGTTTATACTCTGTCGAATAACTTATCCGCGAACGTAAGGACAGTCAGCTAACTAAGAAAATAATTTAAGTACTCAGTGTGAGTGTCAAAATTATTTAGAGTTAAAAGCGACGAATCTTAATTAATCATAGAAGAGGGCAACAGTTGGTAAGAGTCGAGAGACGAAAAGGAACAGTTCGGCCCATCGCCAATACATAATCTTACTGACTGAAAATACCGATAGCCTGGGAAGCATTTAAGCATCTGCATCCAACTTTTAGGTATCATGCATAAGATAATTGCTTCACCATATGGATTATGAGTTTAAGGCTTTTTTGAAATTTTATGACTGTACAATTAAATCGTAAATTCAGTATGCGATAGCAAAACGGCAACTAGCTATAGGACTGGCAACTGCTTACATTAGTAGAGAGCTTTAAAATTTTTACATTATATTGGTGATATTGAAAAGTAATAATAACGCATTGTGCATCTGGTGCTGCGAATACAGAACCTTGTTTCCGAAGCGAACGTCGTAAAAAATCGTTGTTCCACTACTTGAACGATAACACTAGCAATCACATTGCTTAAAGTTTAATAGGCTTTATTCTGCTGAATTTACATGATTATGACAGGTAAATTTCCGTGTTGGTGTAATCGTGCGCAATAACCACCTGCATCCGGTGCTTAAGGCTTCTGGGAAATCCACCTCATGATTGCAACTTTGTGTCGATATATGAATTCAATAAAACTTTTACCTGCTTCTGTATAGACGGACGTTAAATACGAGTACTTGGCGAAATTTGACCTAGAAGATAAAATTTCTCATAGCCTCGCTTATAAATAGAACAATGTCTGTAATATGATTAAACAAATATTCTCGCTGTGGTAATATTGTTGCCACATTTCAACTTCACAATAGGTTTAGCAATAATGAATTCTGTTCCATGCAAAGGTATATATGTTTAAAATGACTAAATATGAGGTAGGCCTACTAAAATAAGTTAAAGAAAGCTCAGAATATAAAGGTTTCTATGTATAATCTAGTGAACTGAACAGTGTGTGTGGAGGAAGTAACCTATGACGTCTTTTGTAAGACAGTAAAAGTAATCATGAGACTCGAGTAATAGGTTTTGCAAATTGGGCTTTAGTCATCATAAAAAAGCCGGACAAATCCGGGCCGAGGATAAACTCAAATTATATGGAATTGGTTTAGAAACTTTAGATGGTCTTCATTTGATAGGAGTATAGTTTGTGTTCACTGCACAGGTGAACACAGTTTTACTTATTTATTCCTATCGTTCCTTTCAAATTTTAACATTTCGAATAATGTATCACCTACGTACCACATGCGGAAGAAGGAAGTAATTACTTAGTTGGAAATTTTGATAACAATACTACACGCTAATGTGTCAATGCAGTAATGCTCTTTAGACCTTTTGTGATATCGAGTATTTTAAATATCTAAATGAATCATATATATATGTCGGCAATACCAAGTATTCATCAGACCAGAGGGAATTCTTGTTAGCGTAGATTAGCATATACATTCTTACATTGTAGATATTCATTGCTATATACAAATGGGATAACTTGAGTGTTTTGTAGTACAAACAACTACACTGTCACTGGAGTTCAATATTGGAAAGGTTATTAGATTGTCTTCGATTAGATCTCTTGAGCAAAGAAATGTATCATTTGAAAATTTATGAACGAGGGAGGTACATATAGTATGCGAAATTTCCATTATTTTTAATAATATATATATATAACCAGTGTCGTGATTGCGTATTTAGATGTATAAAAACATACCTGAATTCACATTCAGGACGTTTAGTCACAGTATATTGATAACTTTTATGTTAGTTTACCCGAAAACTTCTCTGAACATTGTTATCCTTCATTTGCTGATAAAGGAGATGGCAATGTGCTCAGCTCCAGAATATCCATTATCCATGTTTTGTATTATTTTTTGAACTTTTTTTATTTTAATTTTCGGATTCAAATTAGAATGTTATTGAGAAAGTTAGAAATGTTAGATAAGTAGCCGCGGAAATGAATGAGAAACTTTTGATATACATTGGATTATTTGCTTGGATGATTGCTGTCCTTAGCGCAGGTTGGTATATATTATATATCATCATATCTTCCAAGTTATGTGCTTATTTATGAACTCTTTACTTTTGCGACCAGATAGAGGTGAGTGGAATGCATTTGGAAGTTACCAATACTACGTATCTGGAAAAGATGATATAAAACCATATGCTGATGGTGAAAAATTCTGTGAGGACAATAGTGGGGAGATGGCAATGATAAAATCGAGCGAGATTCAAACGTTTATTCAGAATCAAGTCTCGGCTACCTCGGGTAAATAGGACATTTTACGTTTTCCCCCAAATCCCTGAATGAATTTGCTTGAGGTTATTTATCATCATGGTCATAAGAATCTTTGTTCATGTGTTTTGGGATTTGCGCAAGAATCTTTCATACGTTTATTTAGAAATATTAATATTCATAATTCGTTCGTCTTCATATATTTGCACATGCTTTCAATTATGTCCAACAGCTATAATCAGCCATGTATACATGCAACAAATATTACACACGACAAAACTCTTTATTACTACAAGGCATTTTACTGTCTACAGGAACACCATATGGATTTTATATTGGCTCAAAGGAAGTTGGTACAAGTAATACCTTCATATGGAATGACAAATCAGAACTAACCTACGATAACTGGAACGCAGGAGAACCTACTAGTAATTCAACTGAACCTTGTGTTGTTATGGGGTGGTTACTCAAGTATTATGCAAATCTACCGTGGTATGACGTCGATTGCGCTGCTAATTCGGCCACTGGATTTGTCTGTCAACGATTAATCGGTAAAAACATTTGTTTGCAATAAATGTATACTTAATTTATAGATTATGTTCTATTTTGTTTATATTGTTTAGTCTTCTCTTTTATGCAATAAATTGCCGTCTTAACTTTGTAAAACACAAGAGTGATATTCTTTTTGCAAACCACTATATTTATATATTGTAACGCCGTTGACTCCAATTCAATATGCATCAAGAGAAAATCGGATTATCTGGATCCAATGTTCGAAATACAACTAGATAAATTTTGTTTATTAGAAAAAGCAGTTGCACAACATCATTCATTTACAGCCAGATGAACTTTTAGTTCTTGATAAAGGAAAACTGCTCAAAACATGTCAGCTGAATTTTATCATGAATATTCCGTACAAAACTAACTACTTTTGATTAGCTATTACTCCCGGAAAGATTTTGATAATGTCATCATATCGATATGTATACTCTATATGCTATTGTTTTTACCGCTCATACTGTGTTAACAATTCTTGTTTAAATTTACTGACATGAAATTGCTTCAGAATACTTAGTTGTAAAAATATACCTCTTATTTTATTCTGTATGTTTCTGCAGGCTGGAATTGGGGATCATGGGAGTCTTGGGGAAGTTGTGAATGCCCGGGAATAAGACAGCGTAACCGAACTTGTGTTGACAGCGGAATAACTGGTCCATACTCATGCAATGATACGTCAACACAATCGGAAGTAAACTTGTTTTACATATATAACTCATCATGATTGTCATTCCGTTCAAAATGCTTGCTCATTACCTAGTTGTATTAATAACTATCACATTAAAGTTTAGGATTTTATAAAGTTCCAGCATGTCGATTAGTGTGTTGTTCCAGAACTATAACTTACAAATGAAAATAATCTTTGTCATGCACTCTGTTAAGTCACATTTACGTTGTATCTATTGTTTAGTAGATATTTGTAGCCTACTCTACGACAATAATAGTTACACATGGCATTGCCACTCAGGTAAATTTAGTCAGTCTAGTTGTATTTCGTTATTAATTAAAAGAGATTGACTAACGTATCAAAATAATTCCATTCTAATTTTAAATGTGACTAGCAAATCTTTCAGTCTGCGCCCTATCAATTTGGATTTCATTGTTACATTTCTCTTTTTTTGATCATGTAATAAATTTCATAGTTACAGTAAATTTGATTAAAACACGTACATGTACGGTTGAACAAAATGAACGTTGTTTTTAGATATGCGCGCCATCCGTTTCCTGCAATGCAACTATGCCTTTGATTCCACTAGGTGAGAATGAGAACCTATTCCAGAATTAGGTTGTTATGTTTTCATTTCCCAGCAAACTGACCACATAGTACAATTCTTGCGAAAATGAGATAGTGATATGAACAATGGGCTCTGTTATTCTCTTTCACATAAGTCATGAACCAATTTCTATCAATTATCTGTCTCTAGTGAAACTGACTAAATTTTTTTCTATTGTTACTCTGGCACGAATATATTTTTTATTGGCTGAAAAGCAATATTGACTGAGTACATATATACGGTATTCTGTACTGGTAACGGAACCGTACCGGTACCTGTACCTGTACAAGCGTAACCGGTAAGGTAGGTTACCGTTGTCGTTCACTGATAATGTTGAAAGACAGCGTCAAAAACAGTAGATTCCAAGCTCTATAAAAAAAAATTAAATTACATATTTGAACCTTTGCTGTCGCTGCTCGATAACCAGCTTTGCCCCTCCACCCCCGCGACTACTCTTTCCCAGTATATCTGTGTAATTATTATTTTCTCGTAATTTGTGTTTGATTGTTGTTAATTTACTGGTTGTAAAAAATAAACTTGACTTGACTCTAATCAAAAGGTGCTATAACGATTTATAATCGAAACTTTTAAATGCGTCAATATATAAACGTTTTTCTTTATTATTCACTTTGGTACTTAAATTAAAGCAAGTGCCTGCAATAATCGATGCTATCTCGCTCAACCGAGCTCTTTCACTGCGCATTTTTCGAAATACTGGTATTATTCAATTATTTGATTTCTCATTTGTGAAACAGGTCGAGGAAACTGGTTTCCTAATGGAAGTTATGAATATTACGTTTCACCGGGTGGTATTTCAAGATCTTATGAAGTTTCAAAAACATTTTGCAAAGAGAGAGAGGGCGAATTAGCATTAATAAAGAATGAAATGACTCAAGGATTTATAAAAACACTCGTTTCTGATGGATCAGGTACGTGCATTATTCTGAATTTTAAAGTCCATGTATACTCATTACGAACGGAATGCAATAATTCCGTACCTTGTGGGATATAACGCTTATTTACGCGAAAAGGTCCATGTACAAAAACCACTGATATCTAACAATATATAAGAAGCTGTATTAGTTTTTAGCACTGTCTGGCAAATTTATTACACCCATGAGTGACGTGAGATGGTATTTGAAACTGAGATGCGTAATCTGCAATGCCAACTCAATTAAGGCTAACGCTTCAACCGCTTGACTCTCACTAAAACACTTGTCTATGCGCGTATATAAAGCAATATGATATGTTTTATCACAGGAGAACCATACACATTCTACATTGGACTTGTTTATGACAAATCAAAGTTGATGTTTCAATGGAACGACGGAACAAACCTTTCATTCCCTATTTGGGATGAAGGAGAACCAAATAATCATATCAGTGGAACAGAGACCTGCGTATCGATAGGTGAAAGAACAGTTTATGACGCAAATCTTCTATGGCATACGGTGGACTGTATCACGGGAGCAACAGGGTCAAAAGGATTGGTGTGTCAACGACGTATAGGTAATTGAAATTAGTGAATTAAAGGTGAATGTCTCGCGAGTCATGTTACTTCAAAGTTAACTAATAAAAGCGTTCAACTTGGTATGTTTTAATTAAATGAAGATTGCTTTTTAAGGGATATAGAAAACATATTGCTATTTGAAATCAAGTGATGCGGTAAAATGTTATGGCAAACCTTGCGTGGAAATTTAGGCCTTTTTCAGAACCGCTCTCTTCGTATTTCTTCATTACTATCTGTTGAGCGCATTGATCAACACGAACTGTTTCGATCTAGGTAAATACTGGGAAACCTGGTCTTCTTGGAGTGAATGTAACTGCTCAACCATAATCAAAATGAGAAAACGAACATGCATTAATTCTCCGCGAACAGGGCCCGATGCGTGCGTTGGCAGCCACAATGAGGTATGAAGTAGCTAAATATTCCATATATGTACATTTTATTTTTTTATCGCCGTCGTGGTTATTCATTGATATCTTCAGTTTTGTACTGCAGTGTAGCTTGAACTCGATGTCAAATTTATTCACAGCTATATTAAATGATATTTTTTTATTCTTAAATAACCACGATATGAAGTGATGGCATTCTCCATTCGATGTAGTTTTTTAGCATGTTTAAGGTGATCTTGAATCTCGAAATAATGAAGCGGATATAATATAACTTAATTCCACGACATGGTCAAATCGTTTTGGCGGTAGCGGAGTGATACTATTGTATATCATAACATGTGCACATAAAATGAAATGTTGATGCTTTCCGGGTATGTTATAATAACTTTTGCTTTTAAAAACCATGTTTGGAAATTGTAATAAAACCGACCGATTTCAATTTTCTTTCAGTTTGTGTCAATATTTTTAACAGACTGCAAATTGTACAAAAGACCCAACTTGTTATACGACTACTGTTGCGGAAACAACATTACCATTAACTTCAACTGCTGGTAAGTTAACCACCGACGTAATGACTATCATGACTACTGGTTCTACAGAGGAAAATAATGTTGTGACAAATGCAACCTCTAACTTGCAAGGCACTTCTTCTTCACTCGCAGAAACCGAACAAGACCAAATGACGACAGTGACCTACCAACTCACATCTGAAACTAAAATTAACAGCACTGAAGAAACGGGCATAAATTTAACCCAGTCAACTATTCATCTCCCCGAACCAATGACAACCACAGGGGTGGACAGCCACGTTGTTAATACAGAAAGCACGACGATTACAGGGCCGTCCCCCATGTCCCTCGCACAGACAAATGAGAGTAAAACGACGATGGAAAATAAAATGACAACTTCTGATAGCGGTGGAATAACAAGTAGCTTATTGAACACCACTATCCCTACAAGTACAATGATACAATCAACAAACGAAACTAGCCAAGGAAGTAATTTCGAAGTGACATCGCCAATTTTGTCTACGGCAACAACGGTAATGGAAACAACGACAGGAAAAATAACTCAATCTATTTCCACTCCCACAAAAACTGATTCCACGTCTACTGTCGCCACTACGAGTCCAGAATCTAGCAGCAATCAACACGCAACTTCAATTAGTGTTACAACCGCAACGACGACAGAACATAAAAGCACGGCCACAATGAAACAAACAGAGACGCAAAAGAGTGCTACTTTTGAATCGAGAACTGAAGACGAAACGTCGAGTAAATTTCACAAAGATTATATATATTTTTACATATTATTTACATATTAACGTATTTGAGTTTAATATGAGACGCGCTATTAAAGTAAAAATGTAAACGTGTCGTCACAATATAAATGTAATGTCACAAAACGCAAACATGGAAGTCATAATTCACTTTGAGGGCAAAATCAATTTATACACTCCGGTAGCAGAATTAGGAATACTTCATTCCTATCTTTCTTTAAACTCAAGTGAATTGCTAAAGATTAGAATCGCGGCAAAAAAAATGCGATTTATAATTTTACGGGCTTGATCCTATACTATTAGCTGCAAATAAGCAACAATATACATTTGATCAGAGTTAATATTGGCAAAATCTGCAAAGAAACCAAACTCAAATAATACCAACAAACGGAACGTGGGATAATTATAACGGCATTAGCAATAGTTTAGCATAACAAATCATAAGTTTATAGGTTAGTTTTGCCTCTTATACAATTGAGTCATTTACTAAGATGCACGCGGGAACGCGGCCAACATTAGATCATTGAAACATTGAAAAGGGCAATTAGAATGTTCAAATGTTAACATACAATCAAGATGAAGCGGTCTAATAATTTTCGGACGATTAATTTCCAAATGGAAGCTTAAGAAAAATTTTAAATTCAATTTCAGCTCGCGAAATTGTGTAAGCTTGTCTAAATGAACATTATCTATTAATCAGATTTCTGATTTTGTATATTGTACTGATATTAATTCCTATATTATCTCACACAGAAATTCCTGACAGTTCGACGATTGGTATTCTTCGTCCATCTACACCCGCTGCACAAACATCAATCATTGGACCAGTGGTGGGAACTATCGGAGGGATTCTTCTTTTAGCGCTTATCGTTGTTTTTATACTTTCAAAGCAACTCAAAAAAAGGTAGTATATCCAACATTATCTGTTATGAATAGTGAATGAATACCAAATATAAAGGTACACTCATTTCACAGAGAATGCATATAATCTAAAGTTTTGCTTTCAGAAGAGGTAGTGGAACCATAAACAAGGGTGGGCGTGGCAATTACAATGAGGGGTTAGAAATGGAAGAACAACTTAATCCGAGAGATATAATGTCAGAGCGTAAGTTAATGTAACTTCATTTTAAGTATTACGTCAACGCATTGTATCTGGGTTGATGAATTACCGTACTTTACTGTCCACCACATGCTGCTAAATGTATGACAATTAAGAGGAAATACTAATTCCGACATGCACCGTATGATTATCTAAACTATAGGCCTTATAGGAAAAACAGTGATTTCATGGAAATATATTCATTCTGAGAATGTATAGCAAATAAGAATAGTATATATAGAAGCGTAATACAAGATTGAGTTTTACACTAAAATCACAACTTATTGCAACGAGCCCGACCGATATTAAATAAATCTTTCTACGTAGAAATTTCAGAATTGTTATTACTTATGAACATAATTATGAGTTATTTATGTTAAAAAACGATACACCCAGTTATGGTGATTATATTATAACTAACTCAAGTTGGTAATAAGGTATGAGTCCGTATTCAAATCTGTAGTCGGTTAATTTGAATGGCTCGGACCTAATTTTCATCTCCTCCAGATGAAAACGTTTCAAGTGATTCAAAATTGCTGCTACATATTGGTATATAATATCACTTACATGTTTTACTGCTACAGATCCCGAAGATGTGGAATCAGGTCGAGACAATTCTGAAAAAACGGAAACTCTTCGTTATCAGACGTTTTCGAACCCTGCTGGAAATTCAGACAATAATTCTCTCTTACCCAAAGATCAAGTTGACTCGTCAAACGGGCAAGATTCACCCTACGCCGTTGTCGATAACCATCAGAATCAGATAAACGATGTGACCACAGAAGGCAACGACAATGCAATGTATACTGCTGTGAACAAGACAAAATCGAAAAAGTTAACCGAATCCTCAAATGTTTCGGATGCGGTGGATGTAACAGAACCCCAATATGCTGTTGTTGATAAGCAAAAAAAAGGCGAAATAATTAATGTTTCTGCTAACCCTGACGAGAACTCCCCTGTAGCTTATGCAACGGTTCAAAAAACCAATGTTGAGGATTCTGTCAAAATGTCAAAATCAGAAAATCCCTCTGATGAAAACCAAGAGTCTGGTCCGACTTACGCTACCGTGGAGAAATCGAAATTAAAAGGCCCTGTGAAACAGGAAACACCTTTAGATGGAAACGACAAACACGACAATAATGTGACATACGCTGTTGTACAGAAACCCAAAAAAGATGATTCTTCAAACGTCATTGAAGTAACTTACGCAACGGTCAATAAACCTAAAACAGATCAGAGTTCCGATGTCAAGGGACGTGCTGAAGGGGCTGACATTGAACTAAATGACGACCCATATGCAATGATTGACAAGGGTAAATAAGGATGGAGAAGTTAAACAAAACTACAATCGATATTACGCGTTTGCTAGATTAGCAGCAAAAAAAGCAGGTTCAGACTGATTGATAAACCTACTAATGCCTAAATTAGAGCCATGTTGCTGCTAGAAGTAATTGTTGATCATCTAATGTGTTATACATCGGGCTGTTTCTGAACTGTTCCTGCTTTGTTTTTTGAAATGTGTTTTCTGGTCGCAATTACCTTTACAATTGTACTTTTGAAGCTTGTTTTGAATTGATTGAATTATTTAAATTAAATGTTCAACAACTCTGCCCCGGCGTTGAGGAGGAATTTAAAAATGAAAACTGGCAAAAAAGTTAACATATCACCAATATATATACGTTTAAATTCACAATTAAATTTAATTTAACTGACTTTGTAAGTTGATTATGAATTTAAACAATTTAATTCAGACTGCTTTACCAGAGCGTTATTTTCATTGAAGGTGTGAACAAAACAAAAATGTCAGGATACCCTCATCCAATGAAACAAACAAGCAGCAATACAGATTTTCAATCCAAATGAATAGAAAGTATCGTGTTGCTTTCACTTTATGCATTACATGGTTAAAGATTACATGGTTAACTATTCCTAAATCGGACCCGGATCGGTTACTAGACAAAAGGCTGTCGTTGTTCAAATCTTTACCAAACTATATCTTTTTTGATGCCATGATATCAGCATGTACTGGGAACAGTATCAATTTGTCCGGTTATCTGAAAGTTTTTTCAAGTTATTTTTACCTGCACTTTTTGACTATTCTTTAGTTTTCGAAAGTGTTGCGCTGTTCTACGTTATATATACAATATATTCATTCATACATTGACAACAGAATTTGATAATGATCCATAATATTTCATGAATGAAGTTGAATCCGTACTTCTCAACTATGGATACCATTCTCTTTTTTCGACATGATAAAGATGTTTCATTCCAAGATATAAAAATTTCATGCCATGTTTGCCTATATTAATCTCTAATATTATAGTTTCTGTAACTGTACTGATACTTTCTTATTTAGTAATGTAAATACTCCTATACTCCTATACTCTATGTATTTATGCACAAATACTATCAATTTTTTTTTTTTTTTGGATCGATTGCTATTTTTCATCAAATTAGCCTTTTTCGTTTCGTCTATTAAAATTCGTAATAACGGTATGAAATATGCAAAATTGAATTTCACCTACTTTTAGTGGTATAGCTAACAATTGTGTTGACTTTTATTCAAATATATATATGCAATAAACTTGGATAAAGAAATTTTTAAAATGTGTTTTAACTAATATTTATTAGTTACATCTCAAGTATCGTATGTTGAGATGTACTTCTATTTTTTATACCTGTATATTGTTGTTGCTATTATTATGTGCAACATAAGCAGGATATTGCGTATACTTTTGGCCCTAATTTTATTTTATTTGAATCGAGCATTATATTAAACGCATTTCCCAAATAATATACTAGATTACCTGCCACATAAATAAGCGCTATCCAATGTAAATTCATATGAATTTTAACCAAACTTCCTGACTTGGAGGTCACATGCAAATATTTGTTTAAAATTTTGCTTCCTAATCAGGGTCAAGTTCAAGAACTGTTAAGCTTAACCACAATTTATGAAATAGACAAAAAAGTAAACTAAGTTCGATCGTACAATTTTATATAGTTGTATTCAACCAAACGGAACCTATGTGGAAAAACATACGATACGCTTCAAAGAGGGCTTATGTCCACCAATACATGTGATTATTATGGTGTTACATAGGCCAGAACAAGTGTGAACAACAAGAAACTTACTATAGGATCTCAAAACCAAATAGAGACATACCATCAAACGTTGCACCATCTTTTCTTCAATATAATGCACATTGTGTAAATGTCTTGTAATAAATTTATCGACTCAAAACAACATTATGTATACAGCTGCATGCATGTATATTAGCAAGAACAGGAAAGCGTGGTGATGTCGAAACTATGTATAAAAACTACGTCAACACAAATAATGTATGCGAGTGGGATGTCTAAACTTCATGGAACTTAATAAATATATTGCATACATAAATTGTGTTCATTAATCGCAGTGGTGGATTATAGTTATATCTGTAAAACCTGGCAATACAAGGAGGTAACCGAATATGCAATAATTTGTGGGTCTGTGAATTGATTAAGACGATTGGATAGGATTGATAGGAGGTGGGATAAAACGATTTGAGTTGAATACACGTCCGCAAATTTTTTGATTGATTGGTTTAAATCAGACTAGATTTTAAGTTATAATTAAAATTTTAATATATATGTTGACGAAAACGTAAAAATGCGATTCTTCTTCTGCTCATGGATCTTATGTGTCACGGAATTTACAAGTAAGAGTTTTGCAATATTGTAAATAAAAATTTAAAAGTTTGCGGCATATAGATTTAGACAGCATCAGAAATTTACCTTATCAAGATACCAAAAAATTTGTAAATATTTATTTCGAGTCTTATTATATCACCAGATATGTGGATTACCTGTAAATGGTTTGTAAGAAGCGAAGGTGTGATAAACCAATGGGAATTAAAATGTAGCAGGGCTTTCATGTTTTATATTCCGATTGAATCAAGTATGTATGATAAATGTTAAAACTTAGTTGTTGTTATTTTTTAAATAGGTGTTCTGGGCTCATCTGGTTTCGGGTTGGACGAATCGACAACGTCACCAGTAAACAATGATAACATCGCCTCAACTGTTTATGATAAGGAGTTTGATAAAACCATATCCCAGACTACGGTAGCCAAAATATTCTCAACTGCATCGACATCTAGTGCATCAACCCGAACAACAAAAACAACCCAAAGCACGAGTCTCTATGAAACTACTTCTGCCCAAGGTACGTAATATATTTGGCAATTTTCTTCAAGGCGTATTTTCTTCGCTGGAGAAAGCCAGAAAGTTGACACTCAATATTATCACATCGATGATGGAAATGATTACAATGTTAAAATAAAACGTTATTCAGAAATAAATATTTACATCCCCAAAATTGCTTTTTCCAAAGGTCTTAGAGTTTACGAAATTATTAAACAAAGTTGCAAGATTAAAAAAAAGTCTATTTAAAATATTTGTCTCAAATTTTAGCCGATTTATTTTTAATTTTTTTCATACATTTTAAAACTGTAAACAACCGCAGTGTACCAATGGTTTTGTTTGAGTGATAAAATATATAAAATTTTCACAAATATACCAATAGGATGGGTTGTAGAATAATTGATACTGGTGCAAAAACTCGTCATAAGAACTATCAATTTCGGTTTTGTACAAAATACAAAAACAAGATGACATTTTAGCTTTAATAATATTGTGCTGGTTTGAGTTTAAAACATTTTTTTAATTAGAAAACTAGTCTCTTGGACATGCCTCAAACTGCATTCAAAACTAGATTATTTTGACAAAATGCATATGGCCAGATGAAGTCACCTACGCCACCTTTTCAGTGATTAACACAGCCTATGTCATATCATTCAATGAACAGAATTCTATATATGTTCTTCATTATACCTTTTTTCTATTTGTTTTTACATCCGAATAGATCGTCGTGGGAGTTGGCAGAGGCTAAATAATATCGAATATTACGTATCTAAAGCTAGAGAGATAAAGAATTTCGACCAAAGTAAAGAGTTTTGCAGGCAACAGGGTGGAACACTTGCTGTTGTTAAAACAAGCGAAACACAGATTTTCATTGCAAGTCTTGTGATCCGAGACTCAGGTATTTTTATAAGCTATGACATCGACTGAATATACTTTTCTTGATGCTTTCTTTGGCGTTTAAAATTTTCCTCCTTCTGACATCATATTTCAATGCTAATTTTAATTTTATAAATTTGAATTGAATTTGAATTAAATTTTTAAATTATTGGATGTTATTTTATCTTGAACCCACTTTAACGAGCAAAACTGCGTGTAAAAAGTCATTTATTTTTCAAAATTTCACCTAAAAATGTGTAATATTTATTTTCAATTAGCCAATTGTTTGTTTAGGTATAAATTTTTCAATTTCATTACTGTATAACAGTACAATTAATTTTTTTTAAGAAGCAACAAAGAATTTATTTAAACCTGTAAAATTTAAAATAAAAAATTAAAAACAGCAATTCATTTCACAGGTACGCCATATGGGTTTTTCATTGGTTTGAAAAGAGTGAACAATAACAGCTTTGCGTGGATTGATAACGAGGCTGAATCGTATGGGGCATGGCATTCTGGAGAACCTAATAATACGGATGAAAATGAAGATTGCGTTATTATGGGTTGGATTCACGAATTTATGAAAAATCTCCGATGGAGAGACTACAAATGTGGCGTGGAAAAATTCGCACCAACCGGATTCATATGCCAAAGGATATTAGGTAAAATAACATAAATTTTGAATTAAATTAAGATAATCTTTTCAAATACAAATACATTGGAAAAAGTTTTAGACTAGGAAATATTAAAAAGTAAAACAAGTACCAAATAAACATTGATAAAATCTTTCACAGGGATGTGAACGCTTATCAAATATGACATAAATTCACATCGCAAAAGATAAATTGTAGAAAAATAAATTAAGGTTAAAATATGCAATTATTACATTGTAATTGTAAACAAAAATTAAAATTTGTCCAAGTCCAAAATCAAAAATTGTCTTTTGCCTTTAAAATTTAAAAAGAATACATCGTCATGGTGAAATCTTTTTTCAACCTCTTGTGCTTTTCTTCAGTGAAGCTTGAATTATATGCTAAAATTTGAAGTTGGTCAAAGTACCTAATTGATTTTTTTTCGTTTTCTACTAATCACGTATTTTTCATCAAAACTTCTATTGTAGATTCGTTTGACCATCTGACCACTGCTAGTTTGCATGTTGTCAGTGATAATTGTAGGTACGATCATAACCTTCTTTCGAATACCAGGCAAATGGGGAACAATACGATTGGCCATGAGCAACGACAGTTTTGTACTTAAACTTTTCTCAAATATAACAATATAATATTTATTTTTATATTACAGAAACGACTGTCATTCCTACTACGGAGTCGTTCACAAGCGCTTTGAAAACCACTACTTCAAAATATATTTCGACGGAAGGTGAACTCACAACAAAATCGTCAACTACAGAATTCTTCGAACCCACGTCCGGGACTCAACAAATTTCAACAGAAGAATCGACTGATCCTATTTTATGGACAGAAAGACCGAATTCTCAAACTACAACAATTGGTCTTGTGGTCGGCGGGATATCGCTGTTGCTTCTAGTTGTGATAACCGTACTTGGATATTGCTATCGAAAAAGGTACATTGAATCGGGTGTTGGGCTTGTTAACGTTATCGTAGATTCAATATATATTTTGAATTATGTTTTATAGGCAATCTAAGAATGAATTACTGCAGAGAATACAAAAAACAAATCTTGGTAAGTAATATATGGTATATAATAGCTTTGAGAAGCATATAAAAATCTTTTTGGCAATACCCATTTTCTCCAGAAAACAAGTACAAGAATACATGTAATGTCACAATATTATCGAATTCAGCAATAATCACGCATCTACCGTTGTTAAAAAATATTTTTACTCTGTGGTTCGCATTTTAGCGTACACTTCAAAGTTGTAATTTAACACTTTTGCAGATGTGGATGACTATGTGGAGTTACATCAAATTAATATTGAAGAACCCCGTTCTACAAAACCAGTACAGAGAGATCCTAGTTCGCCAACGCCTCTAGAAGATATAAAAGATCGTGACACGTCTACAAAAATATCCGTAAGAGATTCAACATATGTGTTGATGACGTCTCCTTCAATAGAAATCAAATCTCGTTCTGAAAGCAATCGCTCATTCGTCGATATCATGCTTCCAACCACGAATGTAACTTTAACAGACAATACCACTACCAGTCCTGAAGCAGAAGCATACGAGTTTATGTCTGGTGAATTTGAAGAAGATGAAAAAGGAAAAAATCTGATTTTGGGCAAAACGCAATTGACAAGCGTAGGCCAGGAAATAACAGAAGGATGCTTATACGAAATCATGACAAAAGGAACAATGAACGAATCAAGTAATATCGATAAACATTCGAACACCAGTCAAAGTTCAAAAATACATTTGAGAATGGATAATTCAAAGAAGGATAAGCAAATGTCATCGCATATTTTGAAGGAAAAAGGCGACATCAAAAATATTGAAACACGTGAAAACTTAGCTGAAGGGGACAAATCGAATTTACATGAAGATTTGCAGGGTAAAACTATACAGAAAGTGGAAAAAATCATCCAGTTACCATTACCGTCGATCCCGAAGTGTGGAGATGAAAACAAGACCACTGATGAGTACGAATTGATGCCGTATGGCGAGATAACTTTTCAAAATGTACCTCCTAGTAAAGCTGATGTGCTGCCGCCTGAAGTTATCATGACAAAACAAAATTCAATGAGAATAAAGACCAACGATAGTAGCAAAATAGTGCAGGGCAGTACTCTGCCGACCTTACCCGAAAACACAGACATAGAAATCGATAATGACATTATGCCATATGGTACAATTGAATACGAGGAAAAATCTACGGAGACCGAAGAATCGCTGAGCAATAAAGAAAATCTTAGCAATGATTCAAATAAGAACAAATCAGTCATACAGAATATGCCTTTACCTGCAATACCAATATCAGACGATAGCAATTTGCCTGTGGAAAGTCGAAACGAAATTTACGCTGAAATACAAAGTGAATCAACAATCAAAGTAGTCTCGACCGCACTCGGTTCATCTCTAGATAAAGAGGAGATTCTTGAAGATGACTACACCAAAGTGGAAACACCGGTCAATCTGGGTTTTGATCCGGGCGATCAGGATGTATATGAGGAGATTGATAAGACCACGGCAGTCAGCAGACAGAATAGGAAACGAAGGACAATTATTGGTCCTAAAGGTGACGAATATGCTATAGTGACAAAAGAAGTCTAATTGACCACAATACTCAAGTAACATTATTGCCTGTGGACCGTCTGTTGTTGGCGCATTGCTGATGGCATCCCGGTGTCGAATCTTGTTTAGTGAAGTAACAATCAAAAATAGTTATTTGAATGCAATATTGTCCCGTGCTAATTTTGGACACGAAATGGACATATAAATTATGCTCTGTTGTGAAAAACCCACAAACCATTTATTCGTAACTAAACTACGACTGATTGATTTCAGATTTCCATTCCAAACGTGGTTAAAGCCTCAGAAACACCATTGATTTTATTATTTTTTTGCATTTCCTCTAAATACTGTAGGACCCGCTATGCCACCCCAAATTCATCTGTTTCATTCTAATTAATGAGAAGACTATTTTATGAAATATAAAAACTTATTTTATTCACGCTTATCCATATTTATTGCATTACTCGATAAAGATATCTATAAGTCAGTAGTCATGAGTCACTATAACACATTTATATAGTTGCATTTAAGAGTTTTGCAATTTTATTATATTATGTTGATAAATAATGTAAATATGTACTTAATTACAGTATACTTTACTTCAAAGTTTTTACTTCAAAATGAAAAATGAAATCGTACGACAGAATACATAAAATGTAGAAGGCTACAAGAGTGAAATTTCAAATACTTGAAATGCCATTTTAAACACATTTTCTGCATCGAGACCTTCTTCACCCTAATTTCCCTGAAAACCCCAAAATTTCTTTCATTTATTTTGAAAAATTGTTGATATGCATTAAAAAAAAACAGGGAACTTGTTGTGCATTTGTGATAGTATGAAGGAATCACATTCAATGGAAACGCAGATGGCACGTTCCATATGGCTTGCTTTCTAATATTTAGAGTGGGTGGAAAGACGATAAATAGCCGATGCCACGAATTCCGGCGTAGTCTACCTTACGACGTTACGAGAAACGCAAATGAAATATAAATTCCAAACAATGAACAGTTATCATGGCGACCTCGAATAAGCCTGTGAAGAGATGGATAATGACACTTCGCGATTTACCTACTTAGGTTTAGGATGTTATACCAGGTTACACATTAAATTGCGTAATCCAGTCATATCCTGGCAAAACAGAAAACCGAGCGACAGGCGTGGCTCGTCTATGAATTAATTTCCTTCGTACAAATTCTTGAGGGTGTACCCTCTAAAACTTTAGCAGTTCTTAAGCAGGAAATATTTTTTATACAGCCCTATATTACCTAAGAAGCTGTATTTTGTACTTATAATTGATACTTAATTCAACAGTTTTAAAGGTTTCACAGAAAAACGTTAAAATTAACTACAATACTTTGGGTTGAAGTTGCATGCTATGATTTCGTGTACAGATTCCTTGAAGTTTTCCAGTATTTCCCATTTGTTTTCTGCCTCTTTGTAAACCTCTATTGTATTCGGTCCAAAGCTATCACCACCGATTACGTAGAGCTTATTTTCAACAATACAGGCACTGAAGCAATTACGAGAAATGCACATGCTTGCTATTTCAGTCCATTCATTTGTATTGGCGCTGTAAAACTCTACCTCGTTATCGATTCCACCGTTTACGATACCACCGCAAAGGTAGACTTTATGACACAAAGCTGCAGCTGCTGCACTCATTCTAATTCTTTTCATCTTTGCTATGTCCGACCATTTTTGTGTTGCTGGGTCGTACCGTCTGGCTCGTCTTGCAGAACCACACCCAATTGCATATATGAACTCATTTGACGCAGCGACAGCGATTCTAGGTTCGAGGTCAGTGCCAGGTAGGTTCTCAGACCATTTGTCGATGGTTGGATTATATGAAAAAATGCGATTTTCTCCGAGTACATAAATTTTGTTCTGAAATGCCACAGCCATGTGCCATCTGTCTGGAAGTCCACTTATGGACGCTTTTTTAATCCAAGATCCGTTATGTAAATAAACCAAATCTCTGTCCGTTATTGCGTAAAGACCGCTTCGAATAAATGCCATTCGGCTTGTTTGTTTTAGAGTTTTGAAGCTCGGGAGTTTACTCCAAATTTTCCTGATTGGGTCAAAATATTTGAAGTCTCCTGTATATGTATACATTACCGCAATGTGCGTTGCTGTAATTGGTCGGGTATATACCTCGTCAATTGTTTCGTAAATAGGTTCATCTGTTTCTTCGTACGTTGATATATTCTCTAATTGCGCAACATCGTATCGTCTTGAAACAGTTGCGGGGCCATGTAGGCTATGCGTTGCACCCTTTTCTTCTGTGTCATCAACATCTTGTGCATAGTCATATATATATCGGTGACGCATCAGTAGCAATTGAATATTCACTCTCTTCAAATTTATGGATGAGTCATTTTCGTCCTTCTTCGAAATATTTTGATTCGCGAAGTCATAAACATTTTCGTTCATTTGGTAGTACTTAATTTAAGTTTGATTGCAGTAATGAACGATGGGACACGGATTTAATTTCAATGAAAACCTTTCAACTGCATACGAATATAAAATATACTTCATTCAAAATATTTCATTGTCGAAGGAAGGATCCGATTTGTATTTGCAATGAACACATGGAACTAAGTCTAACCATAATTTTATAAGAATCATTGAGCTGGGATTAGATCATACTGTTGCCAATGCTATGTTAATGTAAATATATTCTGATAGAAAATCTGTAACAACGTTTAGGATCTTGTAAAAGTCTCTGAAGAAAGACTTGTTTTCATCAGTGGAATTAGATAGCCATGATGGATTTGGAATTTTATTTTTCTAAATTCAGAAAATATTTGTCTCTAATTTTCCTTGAAAACGGTCACAGTTTTTTAGACAATTTAGATTGTTGGCAAGAAATTAGTGGTATTACAATAACATCCGGCGCACCAGAAAAGTATGTACCGATATGGAAGTAACTAATTTTGATCGTCCTTATTCTATCGAGTTGAGTAAAGGGACTGAAACCTATGGACAGGGGGTATATTCACTTGGCTAACACAGACAATCACCGAACTCGTAATAGAACTAAAATAAGGAAAACATGAATAAAATTATGCCCTAACCCTAACCTGGTACACATATATACTAGGGGAGTACCTAACATCCAACCAGTACCCCGCGACAAAATATTTCAAACCCCGTAAATTATGCGTTGCTGTTATATAAAGCTAAAAAGAACATCTACTTAACTCTCTAAAAACATACATTTGAAATATAGTGACATACATAACATCCAACATTATTTTGACATGAAGCTGGAAAAGTACTCACGTTGACGCAGAAGCTAACCTCTTTAGACAGGTGAATAACATAGTCACTTCAGGTATGAAAATCTTTCTGTGCAATTTCCTAAACTGCCATAAATTTCAAACACAATACAAGCTGGAATATATACATATATCTTCACAAGAAGCCGATATAACGAGTTTCTTGTGTGTTGCCCCGGTTGACCGGTGTTTGCCTTGATACGAGCTGGTAAACACACTATTTCGGTAAACAATCGTATAATTGCTCTCAGTCGGGAAATGACATGTTTTCCCCTTATTTAAAATTATTTGAAACAATTTGCTCGGCGCGCAAGAAGTGTGTGTGCCAATATGGAGATAACTAAGCTTGTTCGTTTACTTCACATCAAGCTGTGTAAAGAGATTGAAACCTATATGCAGAGGGTATATTCACTTGGCTAACACAGTCAGTCCCCGACCTCGTAATAGAACTAAATTAGGGAAAATCGGAATAAAATTATGGCCTAACCCCAACCTAGTACACACACTACGGGAGTACCCTTTGCCCAGTATTACAGCTAAAGTTTGTTATATATTTGCTCAATATCTACAAAACATTTTTAAATTGAATAAAAATCTATCTTCCCAGAAGAAATTTGGAAGGATTTGAGTTTTCAGTTTTTTTCAAGTAGATAACAGTTATAAAAATTGACGTGTAGGAACGAACGGCTAACTTGTCGAATTTGTTGGAATAAAAACAATTCATCTTTTTCCGAATTTGAATTATAGTTTATTCAACTTCTTCAACATCTTTCCAAACATGGTTTGAAAGGCATGTGATATACTACAACTATAACTGGGGTTTTCTACCTTTAAATCCGAAATCTTGAACAGGTCCCACTATTGGGGCCATCATAAAAACTGATTAGTAAATATAAATTGTGATTTGTGTATTTCGAATCTGTATTATTTGCAAACCTCCTGTAACGTTTTGCGTAATTCACTTAACTAATGCACTACCAAGCCTTACACCAGATACCGCTTGGATCATAGACCGCATAATAATTTGCTTTTACTTTGCGCTCCTTTCATCTACTGATCCGAAATAGGGGAATGTATTCGCCTGAATTATGTTTAGTAAACGGGGGAATTTTTAGCAGTCTTTTCGTTTGATTTTCTTTCCCAAAATAATTGCGATTAGCAGTATTCTACAAGAATGGCGTACCAGTTATTTGACTAAACGAAATTTTTTTGCTTGGAGTCAGTAAGTTATTTTACTAATTACCAATTGAAAAATATAATATTTCTTGTTATTTCTACCTCTCGATATTTGGGGTAAGCAGGTCTCAAACTACAATATTACGGCAAATCAAAGGGGTGTTAACTTTCAATAATTGCAGCCAATAAAGCGCACACGGGAATTTGGAGTGGAGTGAACAAATAAAATATGAAATTACTTTGGGATAAATATCGACAATAAAAAAACGATCCACGGAATGAATTCAATCCTACCAAAAACGCATTCTCTTCGCGTGTCGTTCACGTTTAGTATAATTCGGCCGATCTCGTATTGGCCACGTGTCTTCAGATCGGTGGATTGTCTTATTTCTTATTATGAAACGATAAGATGTTTTTGTATTTTTATTAAATATTAGATAAAATAAAATTAAATAATGAAAATAAAGATCAGTAGGAAATCATAGTTTTGATTTCCTAAACTTCTTCATAGAAAAGATTTTTGCAAATCGTCGGAAAAATCCTCCTTTCTTTTTCCTTCCTGCAACTTCTGGCAAAGCGGTGAATTTTTGCTCATTATTAGACGTTGGTATCGTATCATTGGAAATGATTTCAGGAATTGACAGTAGTTCTGTTGTCTGTGGCAATGATGCTGACTCTTCTCCTAATTGAACCTGAGCATTATCAGCATCCCGAACATCACCACTCTCTCGACACGGGGTTTCCAAATGTTGGGTAAACGATTCCAACCGCGAATCGCCACCCTGTTTTATTTGTAACTGCAACATTTGATTGTCTTTCGCTGGTAAACAATCATCGAATGTTTTATGACAATTTATTTCAGGTTCGTCTTTGATTACTTCCTTTATTGAAGGCGAGTTGGACGAAGTTGAATCTTTTTCACTCAAAGCATCTGGTTTTTGCAGAATGCTAACATCAGAAGTAGTTGTGGGAGTGGATGCAATATATCTTGATATTGTATAGTTGTTTCCATTGTTGTTATCCCATGTTGTGCAACCATTCTGGAAACCACTGAGTGCAAAAATAGCGACCTCGCTTTCCTCCGGCCAGTTTACTTTGAAACTGAATAAATCGATGGCACCATCTCCTTCCTGCCACACTGCCTCTACATCGGAAAATGTATTCCACTTGTCGAACGAAATTCTTGAGAAAACGTTTTTTTCGTAAACTACGTTCTTGACTCCGATTTGGCCCATTATCTCCCTTTCGTCCCATACGAGATCAGTAAGGGCTAAATTTATCGCGTAAACCGAAGCCCGACGTTGCTCGACTTTAGTCGTAAGTCCTTCAATAACGTTCATTTTCGAGAATTTATATCGACCTCAACCGCCCGATCAGAAAATGAATAAATTTGGCTTTATTTTTCATTTTGAATTAAATTACCAATGTTTGTGACGTCACAATATCAGAATAGTTTCATACTGGTTTCAATGGCGAAAGTTGTAAATATTCGATCGTTTCTGCTTTAGTTTCGATTTTTGCCAGCCGATTACCTAATTTTCTCTTTACATCGATTGTTCGATTCGGCTCAGCGGTGTGGCGCATGTTTATTTATTCATCCCGAAAAGCCACAATCAGGCAATTAAAAGTGAATTTAACTTGCAATGAAATGCGTCTAACAATGAGAAATTGTTGCAACAAATCATTGGCGTGATGAATATAATTAATTGTAAACTTAGGTAAATGGTGTTTATCAATTTTCCAGCTGATGGACGAGGCCCTTGTCAATACCGAATGCATTTTAATGAATGCCGCGAGTTTAATACTTCAACAGCGGCATTGCTTCAAAATCTGAAACTACAGTATGTCTTTCTAAATCTATAAACATGTTACATGGGCTTTTCTTACCAATAGCTGCACGGTTGGTTTTCTTCCATGACATGAAACAACTGTGCTCTATGGTCACCGCAAATAAATGCGCGATATGGAAGTAAGAGTCTGATCTACTTCGATAGTGTAAATCTTTTCTTTATGCCTAAATAATAACTGAGGAATGTCGTTGTAATTAGGAGTGTGTTCCATGATGCTTATTCTAGTTTTGAACACCATTTCGTATTGCTGCAGAATATACGAGCAGATCACACATTTGACATGAAGTTTATTACAACAACGAATGAAAAGCATCAGAGGCAGTGTTCACAAAGACTTCAAAAACTAGTATTACAACATCTACCATACCCTGTTATTGGACAGAATTTATTTGAACTGTTAAAATTATTTTAGACCGGAACATTAATGAGAGCGTTGTCATAATGTAGCAGCACAAATGATGTATAAGCATAAGGATTACACCAGGATTTCTTGATTCAGATCAATAGGCCTTTGATTGACATTATCAAAATAGAGAGGCAACATGAAGGGACTGCAATTGAATAACGACCATGTACACAAGAATGTAGAAACCAGTTGTACCAGGATATTCATTATCTAATCAGGAAAGCAAAATTCCTTCTTTGCTGAGATGAATCCGTTCAATATTCGCCATGTTTCCATCTAATCACTATCCTGCTCTGACGAAGCAGGTGTACTTTCTGCCTCTGATTCTTGCGCAGACTCTTCTTCAGAACCTGACGCCTGTTTGAATCGATATGAATAGCAATATTAAAATGTTACATCAGCTTGTATGTTGATATAATTGGTTATATTGTAAATTTTAATCTGGCATAAAGGATGCTATTTCCTTGGTATTCTCTGATTTCTGATAATTCAATTGATTTATTTATTTAAAAATAATACACCCAATTCTGAATTAAACTGGATTTCAATAAACTTTTTAAAGTATTGACTCTCCCGAAGGACAGATATCCAAACTCGAGACCATGTGATTTAGTAAGCAAGATGATCAAAATTCTTGATCTGGAAAATTGTACTTTGCCTTTATCAACCAGGTATACCTGAGGTTCAGGACTGCTTTCCTTCTTTGCAATCTTGGCTTTTGGTTTGTCATTATCAGAATCAGATGACGATGACCCACTGTCTTGTATGAATTCTTTGCTTTTAAATCCACCAGGTTGTGACTTTTTAGGAGATTTCAAAGTTTTTGACGAACCTTTTGGTGAAGATTTCTTCTGTTTCCTTGAATGAGAAATGTTTTACATGAGACCTTTCCAAAAAATATTGAAAATTTTAGCCAGTCTTTAAACCCTTGTTTCACATTCCTAGAAGGTTAAACTTTAAAGATAACAGTGCCCGTTCTTTTAGAACTTTATTTGGAAGCCTAGATATTGAAAGCATAAAATGAACCATAAAAATAGGGTAGCTTTAAACCAGTTTGCATAGATAAGCATGATAGATAAATTATGAACTTCGGGGCTATGGATTAACTTCGCCCAGAGTCTGGTTTGTAAAAGATTTTGTCTCCGACACCACTCCGAGTTATCAAATTTTGATAACAAAATCTTTGTCATGTGCAGACCTTCGTTATAAACTGTTAAAATGCTAAATTAACGCTTTTGGATTTTTAGTAGGAAGTTTTGATTTCTTCCATCACTATCCAAAATCTGTGATTCCGACTCTGGAGAGTTTGAAATTAAGACTCCAGCCACAACTCCAATGAAAACAAGCGAAATTCCAAATTCTTAGCCCTGTTCAGTATTGTGGTTTGGAACAATATTGTTCCATTATTGGAAAAGATATAGAGGACACGTCAACAAAAACAAATACATACTTTATAGGTGAAATATGTCTGGATCCTCCAGCAGCTTCGTATTTTTTCATTTCTTCTTTATATCTTATCTTATCTTTCTCATACTTCTCATTGTAGGACTAAAAATCGTTAAATTAGACTTTGATAATTATAATAAAAAAAACTTTGACAATTTCAACAGAAAAATGAAACATCAATGTCTTTTTGGAGTCGTCACTCTTATCAACTGGACTAACAAGTCAGAATTTTTCAAAAGTCTTGAGAAATTATTTTGCATTCTTACTCTTCCAAATACATTCCAAAAAATGATTTTGAATAATAAATATCATTTACAGTCAAAATTTAGTACAAATAACAGATCACCATAGATTTGCTACTTATACTAAGAAAATAGTCAGTGATTAATGACACGAAAATAATTAACTATATAAAGTTATCAATCTACTACAGCGAATATGCTATTAATAAGAAATCTAGACTTTTGATTTTGAAATACCTTTTTCTCAGCATCGGAAACATCTTTCCATAATTTTCCTGCATGTTTTGCAATTTCAGTCATGCTCAATTCTGGATTTTCCTTCTTTATTTTACTTCTGTTATCTGATAACCACTGCATGTAAGCTGAAGACGGACGCTTTGGTGCATTTGGATCCTTTTTCTTCTTACCCTGTATAATAGGTAGTCAAGATCTTAAAACCCCATCCTTAATCTGCCACAAATAACAATGCTTAAACAGATTAGTGATGTTTATTGTTTACCCATAATTTGGCTCCTATATAGCCTATTTGGATCAAATGAAGGTTTTACTACTGGCTAGGTGAGAAACGAAATAGTGAAAAAATTTTACATTCCAATTGTTTTAATTAAAGTATCATAAAAACTTATAAATGAACATGGACAATTTGAAGATTATCAACTCAACTCAACCTTCATTCACAATCACAATTATTTAAGCGATATTGCTCAAATCAAGAGAGCAATTTCTAAACTAAAACAGAAATATTTCCTATAAATGAGACACAGTAAATAAAAAACTAATTTGCTCGAGTGACTCGAAAATACAATGTCAATACATACAATGTCATCTGCCTTTAGTGTAACGATTATAATTTAATATTATTTTTAAAACAAAATTTGCTCGAAGCTGGAGACGACATCCTGTGACTGAAATATAAAGACTACTGATAACATAGTACATAGAACTCCTGCTGAAGTGTCAGAAACCAAAAAAAAAATAAAAAAGCTCAACTATTCCACAGATGTTGACACCAATGTTGGCGTGGCAGTGTGGCGCATCGTGCTAAGCCTTAGGAATATGATTGCCACCGCATCTCTGATTACCCTGTGTGGATTCCCAGATTCGGATTCATGCGGGAATGGTTATGAACGAGAAAAGTTCTAGACTCCTAGCCGTCGTAGGGTGGTTCACGTAACCGCTGGTCAGTTACGGCTTCCTCCACCATCAAGTCCATGCTTCTGAAAACAAATAACTGGCTGACTATTCCCACACCTGACCTGGACTAAGAACCGAGCGAGAGGCCATGGTTCACCATATAATTAAGCAGTCGTATCGGCTTTCTCCCTCCCCCGGGATAAATACGTAAATCCTATCCTAAGTTTATATAGAAAAAATTACCTCTTTTTTACTGCTGCTTCGTTTTGTGGCAGATTTCTCTTTCTTTTTCTTCTTAGGTTTTTTCTCTTCTTCATCATTGTCCGAACCTTTTTCATCATTTTCATCTGAACTTGTATTCCGAACATCTGAATCATATTCATCTGCCACCTAGAATAAAGATGACAGAACAATTATCATCATCCTAAATATGAGTATCGTTAAAAATGCGTCTTGTGGCATATGAAAATAAATCCATAGTGCATGTGCAGTTGTGGCTGAATGGTCGAATGATTTTCCTGACTGTCTGAAGATAACAGCAATATCAAAGTATTAAGATAATAATAAAGAGTCTTTGAATTTTACTGAATCTTATTTTATTTTTTTAACTATTGCATTTTATAAAATTTTATAAAAGTAATAATTTTTAGTATAAAGGTGTCCAAGAGGACAAAATAATGTATTTTTATAAATAAAAAACAACAACAATCAGAACTCAGAAGCAAGAAACAGTTTGTGAAGTAGCCACATTAGCTTTCATATATTGCAAAAACGACCAAGATATCATTTTAGTAAAAGATATGCAATAAAAATGTTTATCTTAATGTGTAGCCTACTGCAAAATATTATGAAATGTGCCGGCATTCTTATAGCAATGAAATGTTTGTAATATCCAATTCCAAAAGTACCTCTCATAAAATCAAATGTGGCAGTCGACCAAATAGCAGAATGCAGCGTCTTCTGTTGCATAACAAATATGGGTACTCCAGTAGTGTGTATACCAGTTTAGGCCATAATTTTATTCCGATTTTCTTTATTTTAGTTCTATTACGAGTTCTGAGACTGTCTGTGTTAGTCAAGTGAATATCTCCCCTGCTCATAGGTTTCAGTCTCTTTACACAACTTGATGTAAAGTAGGCGAACAAAATTAGTTACCTCCATATTGATACACACACTTCTGAAGCACCCAAATATGGACACATTTATTTTAGTAATGAGTAAAAAATGCTAAATTTTACTCTTCAAATTTGTGGCAAGTGGTAAATGGGAGAAGAGAGGTTGACTAACCCCTGTCGTATAGAATTAGCATTGAATCCTTTGATCACCTATTTGTAGATATCAAACAAATTTGATGAATCTATTTTCAATCATATTACTTTACCTCATCTGGTTCTGCACCAGGATTGAAGTCTTCATCTTCTTCTGAACCTTCATCACTGTCTCCTCCTCCATCATCTTCATCTCGATCTGCTGCTTCTTGCTTCATTCTCTCAAGATAAGCATCATGCTGTTCATCTTCTGAATCACTGTTTGCCATAATATCGATATTTCCACCTCCATCCTGTAAGAAAAATATCAACTCAACCGCAAATTCAAATTAAACTTCGATAATGAAATTCAGCGCATACACGCCTTGTATAATAGACTGTTAAAAACACTTGCTAAATTAATGCTTTTCAGGTTTCGGTCAACTGTTTTCAATTAGTTTTAGTAAAAAATATAATGAATTTTATCAACCAAAAAAGTCAAACCAAAAGTCCTTTTGCAATTTAAATTCGGTCCAATATTATATTATAGCAATATTATTTAGCAATCTGCGCATTGGGCTTATCACTACTGACGCTGGTGTTTGCATATTATTAAAGATCATAAGCTAAAACCTCATGGTCATCACCTATCTAGAAGATCATATACAATGGGAATACACAGCAATGCTATTTTATTAACAATTCCATAGGTGTATCAGAAAAACTCACCACTCCCTTTCCAATGTTTTTGATCTTCAATTTTTTCTGACTTACAAAATCGAAAAGAGCAGGGTAACAATTTCTGTCGAGAAAACAATGTAAAGGTTATTAGTTTCAAATTTGCCAAAATCGTAAATCTATTGTTGAGAATCTGACTAATGTAATGTAAGATAGAACAGAATTTATGGTCAGTATGGTTGTGGTAGACACCCACATGCTAAATAATATCTACCCTATGATAATTTTTGAAATGTCAAGTAAGAGTGTGAGCTAATAAATTGCAGTATAAAAATATAAAGGGTTTGAACCCCCATGCCCCCCAGTGTGTGAATAAATTTGGTTACTTCTAAAAATAAAACATGTGTTGTTGATGAGCCTTGTTCAGGGTAATAGTGTAAAAAAATGAAAAATGAGAGGGTATAAAATCAACATTACGAGATGGCGATCAGAGACCGCCGACTTATCGATCTTCCGCGTCACTAATTAATTAATATCTCGCTAATTATACGCTAATTATTCGACATAATTTATCCAAAATTCGGAGCAGATTCAATCTCACTTTCGTGAGATATCGCGTAACATACCAAAGTGTCTAACAGACAAACAGACAAATACCTATCAACATTTTACCGATCAAGATCGATAAGTAACGAGATCGATAGGGAATAATAATAATAGTGTGCGCTCCAGTGCTCTAGTGTGTGTACCAATATGGAGGTAACTAATTTTGTTTTCCTGCTTTTCATCAAGTTGTATAAAGGGACTGAAACCTATGAGCAGGGGGGGATATTCACTTGACCAACACAGACAGTCCCCAAACTCGTAATGGAACATAAATGAGGAAATTATGGCTTAACACAAGTCACTAACCTAGGACACACATTACGGGAGTACCAAATAATAAAGGTTAGAATATAACATTCATTGACTAACTTTTCAATATTGCTGAAAACATAAGCAGTCTGACTTCTTGTTTCAATTTCAAAATCAAATGATCTGCTGCTGGTAGCTGATCCACGAGCAAAATTCACGAAAGCAATTTCATCGAATCTTACATGAATCGGAGGTTTATGAACATACATGAAACCTCTCTCCAATGGAAATAGAAAGCCTGACGATGCTTTGTAAGTACACATGATGGATTGGTCGCTGTTTGGACTTAAAAAAATATAAAAAAATATTATAAACAAATGGTAAAGAATGACACATGATAAGACCAAGTTCATAAAAAATTTTTAAGTCATCTTAAAAGTTAAAACCGATTTCATTATTGTCAAATATGATAGGAGAAATCAGTCAGGCAGTGCAGTTGTCATTATGTACGAGAAGCGGAGATTCCAGGCCTGCATAACTGAATTGTGTTCAAAGATAGCTTCAAATATCAGATACTTTGTAGAATTTAGTTTAGTACATTAACTATTCTTTTATGTTTTACATGTTACTAAACAGTGCTGGATTTAACCATGGAACTCTAAAAACTGAATTTATGTTTATCATTCAATATTTTCAATCTTAAGTATCTTACCCCTTGAATGAACCAGGAACAGTTATTTTTCGTTGCACTAAATTTTTCATTACACGACTTACAACTTCATATATTGGCCCCGACATATCTTTTTGCAATCGATCTCCAAACTTTTCTTCAATTTCTCTCCTGTTTTAAACAACAATTGAAGGCAAGCCATAAGCAAATAAGTATTTTTATGCATTTTCCAAAATTTGTGTAAAAATAACACTAAAATACCAACTGTTAGTCTGATACCAATGTAACATTTCAGATTTCAAAAAATGTTTTAAAAGGTCAATATAGCTCTAAAATATCTTTAACACCAATTCCCAAAAAAGTTTGTCATTTATTTACTTGTCTTAGATGATTTTCAAGTGGAAATGGTAAAAATAAGTGAACACAAACGTATTATTTTTCAAAATGACAATTGAAATAAATTTGAGATGACATAGCATAGTTCTCACTTTCCTAATATTTAAAAATATTGATCTCAGAAATATTACTGATAATTAGAAGTCAACATATATGGATAAAATCAACATTACAATAATGAACATATATTGACAGATAACAAAATATTATTACAATAATTTCTGTTAGTAGTGCAAAAATAATGATGTCAGTAATATACAAAAAGAGTTTTCACCAAAAACTGTTGCTGACCAAAATTTCACTCTGCTTCAACATTCTACTAAAAGAGCTCCATTCTAAATAATATTAAAACTATGAAAAAACTACTTACTCAGACAGAGTCATTTCTACAGACATTTCATCTTCTTTATAAAATAAAAGAACAAGGAAATGATATCTGGTTTGTCCTTGTCTGACAGGAGGATCAAGACTGACCTGGAATAAGTTTGAAAACTTTAAAGTAAAATATTTATAAATAAAAAAAAGCAAAAAAAATTGAATAGACGTTAAATGGAATACACCAATGGTTAAAATAAACAGATCTATTACAGAGAAAACAGAATAATGCAATAAACAAAGAAAAAAATTAGTTACTGCGTTTGTATAAAAAATTTTGAAATTACCACAAAGAAAATTTGTCTCTGATCTCTGTGTGGAAGTAAAAAGAGTCGTAGTATGGAAGTATATGTGATTTTGTAATCGAACGTCTTTCCGTGAAGTTGAACAAACTTTGGATACATTCTAATGTCATATCTACCTCTGTAAAAATAAGGCAAATAAAAACTTGAATCTTTTCATATCCAATTTTTTTAAGAAGAATGTTCAATAACATATATAGCTGTGACGTGAGTTACTTATAATGGCATAAAACCAAGCAATCCCTTCACAGATAATCATGCCCACATGAGCCCCACACATAGTACAATGTGCCAAAACAGCATGACTGAACTCAACTCAATTGGAAATTTCATTCTATATATCGTACAGCTAAGAAACAGTGGAATCAGAAAAGTATTTTTATCATAAAATGGTGCTGAAACCAATGATAAATCAACATATCGTGGCTAATGCTACGACCAATGGCCAACAGTAAATGAGACGCTAAAAGACAAAACACTTCAAATACATAACCAACCTTGGTGTGAGACATTGTAAATCTTGAAATGTACAAATGGCATTTCCTTTCGCTTGCAGTACATCAGCTTTCGATATAACATTATCACTGAAAACCTGTGGATTAAATTCGGGAATTATAAGGAATAAGTCTTTTGTATTTTTTTCAGTTTTCTGATAAGTACTGAAACTCAGAACAAACAAAAAATATAGGAGAAAAAACCTGCACAGTATCAGTTTCATCGTTTTGTGATGGCGGAACAAAAAACCTCATTTCCATAAGGGATAATTCTGCATCATCATTCTGATGAAATTCTAATGAAACTTCGTTTTTTCCTGGTGTACATTGTGATACATTTTGCAATGGAATTTCAAAAGCTCTTTTTGAGTCAACATCAAACTGTAGTTCATAACCTATAAATTGTCATAAGTCTTCTTTTAATTTTCATATCGTTAAAAAAACAGAAATTAAACATAATATCATTGACATTCTCAAGTCTCTACACAACAGTAGACAAAAAAGTGAGCGATTATTCAGGGATGGCCAATTCGAATAAAGTATTCGAATGTATTCGAATATCTCGTCATTCGAATATCGGAATTCACGTTCATAAGAATATCGGATATTTGTGTGACGTCACACATTTTCGACGCCGCTTTCAAGATGTTTCCGTTGAATGAAAACATTCTCGATAGAAACTTGCGCGTGATTGTTTTCATCACTCATCAGCGTAACGTGTTATTTAGGCCCGTAAACGCCTTTACGATTGTGTTATTTACTCTAAAACGAAAATTTTCCACAAATTTGTTCCAAGATAACGATAACATTTATTTTATTTTTGTACGCGCACGGAATTGTGAATCTGGTAAATACGTTCATCGGCGGCGAGTTTCTAAAAAGAACGCAACTTTTTGATTGAAAAGCGGCAATTTAGAATACTGAAAATAAAACCGTAAACAATATAAGTTTTATTGAGGCCGCGAAAATTTGAAAAACTCTTTTCTAGGCAGTGAAAATCGCAAAATTTCGTGTGCCTCTGCCCTCTGGCACACATGTTTGGTCGGCGTTTAGAAACATATCGTCACTAATTGAGGGCGGGATTTGCCTGATTATCCATTACTTTAAATTGCCGTCGAATATTTTCATGTTAACACAATACAAGGTTTGAAACGCGACTTTTTCCCGGGTTGTGAGGATGTATATAATATAATTAATCTAAAGTATATTCAATCAATTTTATTGTGATGAAATAAATTTTACTCTGAGATATTACAGCATATTTATGGATTTCTCGAACAGTTTATCTAAAAATAATCGGAGTGGCAGCATTTCGATCGAGCGGAGTCACTGTTAACAAGTACATCTAAATATTTGGCGAATTTGCAAAATACGGATCAAAACAATATTTATTCGGACAGTTTACCTCACGTTTTTATTTTTATGACCGCGTATTGCAATGGTATATAAGAGTGGTGAGGATTTTATTTTGTCGACGCAACCGCAGGTTAAATTGAAGACAATTTAATTAATAAAGCAAGACATTTTAAATATGCCCGTGTCGGTCACGAATTCATTACTTTGCACAACAGAAAAATATATATTCGTTGTTATATTATTTGTTTTAAAAGTCGAGGTGGCATAATCGCGCGAAGAATAGGTATTTTTAATTTACTGCTAAACTTTATATGTATACTCATTGTATGAAATGAATTATACTCTACACTTAACAGGATTTTATATAATTATTTGAGATTTTTCCAACGGCGATAACGAGTTGGCAAGATTGCAAAAATACGTATTAAAATTAAATACATCAGGCAGTTTATCTCGTAATTTTAGGTCACAGATCGCCGTGGACCAAATAGTAATGTTTTTTTTTTTTTTTTTGGCGTAAGAAGAAGCAACCGCGAGTTACGTTGGACATATTAAATTAATATATAAAAATATTTTAGATCTCGTAGTTGTCATGGATGGAATATTTTACGTAACAGAATGATCATTATACGCTGAATAGACGGCTCTTTTAACGAGCGCGAAATCGCGGTGGGTGTTACAGGCGGCAATGGGAATTTCCGATTTCGAAAATCCTGGCTGCGCGCTGGCAGTGGTGGTCATCTATTCTCTACTAATTTATTTCTAATTCCAAACACAACATTATGTTACACATAATAACAATATACTGGTAGGTAGTAGAATACCTCAGGCCTAAATATTAGAATTTTTAAAGGCATAATGGATTTCCGATTGTTGTTGCCTGTATTGCCAATAAATTTTATTACTCTCAGAAAATATTCACAATTATCTGAATACAAGTAGTATTTTTGTCAATAGACTTGACTATTATCGTAATATCATGGTACCAATGATAGAAAGCGTCAGACAACTCCTTGGCTATTATTTCATATGGTCATTTGTACAAAGTGAATAATGTTAATAAACTGACTGTGTCACAAGTTGCTATTATTTTTTATTGAAAGCTATAAACTATCAATCAAGAATGTAATTACTTTGTGTACATATACTGTTAGTTTGTGGCTTCATTCTGATATTTCTATTGAAGCTTATTTCCTAATTTACTGGGTTTCAATCAACTAAAACAAAAATGTGTTATTTTCGATTTTAGAATGTATTCGGAATTCCAGATTCGAAAACATTATTTTAGAATGTATTCGGAATAGTTTAGTATTCGGAAATGGCCATCCCTGCGATTATTACAGGTTATATTTTGAAACAACCCATTCAAATGCCCGAATATTCTTAAATAATTTAAGTCATAAAATATTACTTCAATCATATCATTAAAAGATCTCATGTCTGCTACCTGAATTAGCGTGCAATGAAATATTAAAAATAAAATTAAGATTCCAGTTCTTAAAAAGATTACAATTACAACCAATTTAAAAGTGCATTTTTGTGTATGGTTTTACTCACGAGTGATAGTTCAATCACATATGATGACAAATTTGAAACAAAATGAAGCCTACCATTGAATGTTGTATCACCCCAGTTCCATCCTTTCGCAGACATGTCCTGTTGTTCAATTGTAACATTGTAATTATTTTTCACATGCTTATTGATCTTTTCAAACTCCTGAAATTTGTATGTTATTGATATTGTATTAATATACCCACAAAACAACAATCATAATATCCCAAATATGGTGGGATACCATATGTATTTTGACAATGTTTTAAATGATATAACTATCAGTAGAGGTGCGCGAGACTAACTGCCAATCCTTTCTCAATGCCTTCGCGCCAGTGTAGACGTATGCGTGTAACGCAAGGATGCTGTAGCAGGAATAAAATGGCATATTTTAAATGATAACTGGGAAATACCAGCATATCCGTTACAGGAACAAAAAAAATTGGTTAATTGGGGATGCAAATTTTTCACTATGTAATTACGGTACTCAGAAAATAAGTCAAGCTATGATACAGCATAAAATATTTGCAAGATATATACCGCCTCTTTGAATCCATCGTATTTGCAAGAACGTCCGTCTGTCAACTCAAGTTTCAACTCATATCCCCGAGCAACTCTTCTCCACACAACACTCTCTATGTCGGATAATGGAATTGTTTCAACTTTTCCAGTTTTTATATTTTTGAAAACGACATTATTATTGTTAAGCCGGAGTCTACCTTCATGCTGAAAAATAAATAACATTTAGGCTTATAAACCGATTAAATATCCATAAAATATGAAGTTATTGTCCTGCATAAAATGGGAATTAAATATGAAAACATCACAAGTTACAGATCGCTGGTTCAAATCCCATGATCTCACCTCACCAGAGGCCAGTCTGGATTTCATGGCCTTTTTGAACGAGAAATCGGGCGTGCAATCAGAAATTCCCGCGTGCAAATAAGAATTCCTGGCGTGCAATTATAGCTCACGACGTGCAAAACAACTGCGCTCGGGTGCAACTGACTTTGATATCATTACCTCTCAATACATCCGCGTAAAATTACCGGTATCGGATAAAAAATATGTTGAATCAGGGAAAAAATGGACGTTTGACCTTTGACCCCAAACAATATTTCTACAGTTTGTAGCTAATTTTGAGAGTGTTTGTGCGACTTTGGATACCGGTACTGTTCAGTACATCCGCGTAAAATATTGGATAAAAAATACGTTGAACCAGAGCAAAATAACCATACTTTGTCATTAATTTTGGTAGTGTTTTTACGTAGAAATAATGGATAAAAAATACGTCAAATTAGAGCAAAATGGACGTTTGACCTTTGACCCCCAACATTATTTTCATACTTTGTCTCCAATTTTGGGAGTGTTTGAGCAACTTTAGATACCGGTACTGTTCAATACGTTCGTGTAAAATTATTGTATGAAAAATACGCTGAATCAGAGCCGTACTTGGCCATTGGTGCGGAGGCGATCTTTTCGTCCATAACTATTCTCACGGGATTCCTATCATTCAACACGATATGGACCTTTCCCCGAGCATCGACTTCCTTGTTTACCAGTCTGGATTTCATGGCCTTTTTGAACGAGAAATCGGGCGTGCAATCAGAAATTCCCGCGTGCAAATAAGAATTCCTGGCGTGCAATTATAGCTCACGACGTGCAAAACAACTGCACTCGCGTGCAACTGACTTTGACATCAGATACCTCTCAATACATCCGCGTAAAATTACCGGTATCGGATAAAAAATACGTTGAATCAGAGAAAAAATGGACGTTTGACCTTTGACCCCAAACATTATTTCTACAGTTTGTCGCTAATTTTGAGAGTGTTTGTGCGACTTTGGATACCGGTACTGTTCAGTACATCCGCGTAAAATTATTGGATAAAAAATACGTTGAACCAGAGCAAAATGGACATACTTTGTCATTAATTTTGGTAGTGTTTTTACGTAGAATTAATGGATAAAAAATACGTCAAATTAGAGCAAAATGGACGTTTGACCTTTGACCCCAAACATTATTTTCATACTTTGTCACTAATTTTGGGAGTGTTTGAGCAACTTTAGATACCGGTACTGTTCAGTACATTCGTGTAAAATTATTGTATGAAAAATACGCTGAACCAGAGCCGTACTTGGCCATTGGTGCGGAGGCGATCTTTTCGTCCATAACTATTCTCACGGGATTCCTATTTCCTATCATTCAACACGATATGGACCTTTCCCCGAGCATCGACTTCCTTGTTTACTTCGTGACATTGGCCAATCAGCAACATGCAAAAAAGGACGTAACAATGAGAGGAATTTTTCGCGAGTCAAAGGTTGGGGAAAGGTCCATGGTCTTTTTGCTTCGCAATATTTCGATCAGACCAAATCTTGCAAGCTGGTATTTGTCGACAATTGTGGAGTTATAATATTTTGGCATCTTTATATTACTGGATTATGATTTTAAACCATTTAAACCGATTTACATTGGTGAGCAATTGCAAATTTTCGGCGTGCAAATTGATTTTCGCTCGGCGTGCATTTTTGCGGAGCGCTAGCGCCCTCGGGCGTGCACCTGCCATGGAATCCAGTCTGGCTTGTTTACTTCGTGACATTGGCCAATCAGCAAGATGCAAAAAAGGACGTAACAATGAGAGGAATTTTTCGCGGGTCAAAGGTCGGGGAAAGGTCCATGGTCTTTTTTGCTTCGCAATATTTCCATCAGACCAAATCTTGCAAGCTGGTATTTGTCGACAATTGTGGAGTTATAATATTTTGGCATCTTTATATTACTGGATTATTGATTTTAAAACCATTTAAACCGATTTACATTGGTGAGCAATTGCAAATTTTCGGCAGGCAAAATTGATTTCGCTCGCGTGCATTTTTTCGGAGCGCTAGCGCCCTCGGGCGTGCACCTGCCATGGAATCCAATCTGGACCAGAGGTGTTACTAAATTAGGTAGGCAATGCTGTCCCTGAAATAAAAGTCAGTACGGCACAGTTATAATAAGATTTTGCATAATCATCCCGAAGGCAATGGCAAGGAGTCCAGAAATCCTCTCGTACATAATTGTATGGCATAGCCTACTGCAGCACTGTTTCACATTTGACACCAAACAAAAACTTTTTATTGTGATCTATATCACAGAATAAATTTCTTATGTATCCGATACGGTAGTCTAGATCAGATACCGTAAGTTTTGGAATCGAAGAACTGGAGAATAAACCCCCACATTAAAAGACATCAATTATAAGAGTGAGTGCATATTCCTCCTTTACAAGACAGTCAGTGAAGCTATGGCTATGCGCAGTAAAGACGAAATGATTAACAATGACAACCCATGATTGACTCACCAACGCGCCTCGAATTTCTTGATAAATATCACTGTAATCCAAAACGCTGGCCGACATGGCAACTTTACTTGTGTACAGCAGAAGTAATCCAAAGTTAGATCTTCACCAATGAGGCAAAACTAGAAGTACTTGTTGTAAAGACTAACTCTATCACAAAGCCTCAAGCTAACCTTGGTTAGATCAGAACAAAGTGACTATAAGTTATAGTATAACACTTTATAGTCACTTTGGATCAGAAGCCTTCAGTACATGGAGTGGAGTGAATAGAGGGAAAATCCCGCGAACAGTGGTGCGCCCTCCAGCGGAATCTGTAGAGTTCACGAAAAAGTATCTACAATCAAGACTTTATACAGAAACCTGAAAAGTCGTTTCCAACAAATAATTAAAGAAGGCCCACATTACTGTAATATGTTACCAAGGTTTTGTTCGGTATAGTTAGTGTAGCGGCCATGATTATAAACAGTGACCGCTATTATTGTAACTAAACTGGCAACGGTAACTTAGGGCATCGAATCCTGACCATTGATGTTGGCGGGATCTCTTTCGGCGTGAGCCGCTTGGAGGTAGGACGTATAAATTTGTATCTTAATCAATCGGGGTGGGGGGGGGGGTTAGTATTATTAATTAGGCGTAGTTTAAATTTACATCATATAATTCTATTTCCTGTTTTGTATAGTTATTATTGGTCCCTCCTGTGTAATAGCACTGTATTTTACCGGATTTCTGTTTGACAACTATTTCACCATTATCTGTCTACTATTTCACCAACTTTTGACTCAACAATAAACATCTTTGGACAATCATTTTGAACTTTGAAAAAAAAACTCAGACAGAACCGCGTCATCAAAAATAAAGTGCCTGTACGAGCTATTTATTCCAATCACTCTAACGAGCACATCGCCATCGTATGGTGCTGAGCCGTTATAGTTAGAGTCTTAAGTATACTGTATAAGTAAGAGTTATAGTAGGGCGGGGGAAGATAGACACACGGGGTTAGATGGACACTTTTTTTCAAATTGACCTATTGGCGACATCTTATGGGGCTTGGTTCTGCAAATGCCATTGCCGAGTTTGTTGCTAAGGAGGGAATTCGTTCTAGCCATTTCGGTTCAGCGCTTGGCGTAGTTCGTCGGTTGTGTAGCTTTCCACGTGGCTTGTGATTTTTGAAGGGTGAAAAAAGGGCATTTAGTAAGGACACGTTTATCTTGAAGGCACTATATGCTCATTTTCAGCGAAGGAACTCTGAATCGCGCGTTTGTTGGTAAGTTTATACTTACTGACAATGATTTAGGACTAACTGAGCAATGACATTAAACAACATGATAGGCAACTCTGACGTCACTCCATAAGACTACAGGCGAAACATTATATTTCATGATACGCACCAATGCACATATTTCTCGTCGCCTTTCGCGTCCGTTTTCCGCTCGCTTTTGCTACTCGGCGTCTTTTTTACGTGTAGTACCTGTCTTTTTGCGCCTGTAACGAAACAAAATAATCTCTATATCTAAGAAGTTTTGCTTACTTGGAAAGCTGGAATAACAGGCAAGCTGTAAAGAGCAATTCTGGACATCATAGACGTTTTTTTTTATCAGAGAAGATTACAAACGCGATAGCGGAAAGATTTGTGTGGAACATTTTGCAGATAATGACAAAGTTCAAAGTTAGTAATTTTAATGTTTGCGCTTAATCATTGAAATTTCATTTAAAGAGGGTGTCATACAAAACTGTGCTGCGATACAATTCCATAACACAAAGTTTGCACCTATCGAACTTGCTTTTGTAGGTGAATTTATTAGACATATTACATATTCAGTTAATCGTAGGTAACATTGCTGGTACATAATGCATCGTAGATAGGTTTGTTTAAATTTAGGAATTTAGCTCATAGCCCACTAATTAATATTATCTTCTATGCAGGAGGTTGCAGGGCTGAATTCAACTTGCAGCCTTACCGATCACCTGACGATGCTCATTTAGTTTGGCTCGAGCAAGTCTTCTTGAAATGCTTGTGTGGATGGAAACTACCTATATTTTTTGCCTTCCTCCGATTTTAGACAAATTTATTCTGAGGGATTTCGCATATAATTCTCACTGATTGTTGGCTGTTTATAATTCCTATTGATTGTGAATTCTGATTATAACAATGAGTTGAAAATTTTTTTACCTAATTTACTGGCACCTTTTTCTTGTCAATACTCCAAGCTGAGGTAATAAACATGACAATACATTTATGTCATCTGGAAGCAAAATATGCACACTAATTAATAGTTTGGCACATTGAGATAATACATCATGACAGAAAATACAAGTTAAAGATATGTATGACCATCACATGGTAATTAAAATTAAAAAAATTAATAGGGGCTGTGGAGTATGGAAAGTTCAAGACAAAGAAAAGAACAAATGTTCATAGCTCATGAACTCTCAATTTTGCCTCCATTGCTTTGTGAAGGCCAATATATTTCGAGTGGCTGAATTGGTTTACCTTTATGATAGCAACGATTTTGTATTTAATATAGCGAGATTATTTCAATTTAATTGAAGTGATATAATTTCCCAAAGCAATGCTTGAATCGTCTAGAATAGATCAGTGGTGTCAAACTCATGGGTTTTCGAGAGCCGCATTGCATTTTGAAAATTGTAAAAAGAGCCGCAAACAGTTTTTGATAATGTATACTTAAAAGATATTTTTAAGATAGTTTTAGTTTGTGACATATATTGTGATGCAACTAAACAGTTGGATTAAGTTTTATTATTTTCTTCAATTTCAAATGCAATTACATATTAATATTTGCATTCCACTATTATTGCAACATTTGCAAGTTACAGTATTTATTATAAAAAATCGTAAAATTCTATGTACAACCATCAAAATCATTTTTGAACAAGCTTTGAATAAGGAAAGAATAATACATACACTAAAAATAACTTAATCTAAATATATGAACCTAAAATTAACAAAAATACTACAGTATAAACTCAATGTTTTAATAATTACATTTGTCCTGGCGTTTGGCATCTTTTTTGTGTCACCAGCATACTAAGGCCAGTCTGAAATGATTTTATAGTACCAACTCTAACTAACGAGGCCACATGATCATGGGTTTATCTGGATCTTTACGAATGTTTAATTAATTCCAGTAATGCAAAAAAGTTACTTTTATCATTTCATGTATAGATCAGTAAAAAAACAAATGACAGATTTTTTCGACAAGACATTTCGCACTACATTGCGTGGCATAGGATTGCTTGAATTATTATTGATATTGATTTTTAGTAACTAAGTCGTTGTATAATTATATTAATATACAAACACATGGAAATTTTCTGTTCGAAGTTGGTCTTCGAATTTGTCATATTGACTGCTGAGCTTATTGTGTTTTTTGATTGTATTGATGGAAATATGACAAATTAAACAATGTGCTTCAGAATTTTGTGAAGAGCAGAAATGTTACAACTCCCATTTTCTTCGAAAATGCCACCTTCTTCATGTACTTTGCGTTTAATTTAATTACTCAAGTGTTTTATTCAAGTATTCTTTTGCTAGCTTGATGTGTATTCTTAATTGGGTCAAAATGTGGACAAAAAAAATCGACAAAAAAAACTTCCAAAATACTATTACAATTATTGTTAAGCGTTCGAGGGCCGCACTGGAAGTTCTCTGGGGCCGCGAGTTTGAGATCCCTGGTCTAGATTGAAGTTGTTCAAAAAATATATGATAGTATTTTATCATGAATGATGATTATACCCCTTCCGGAATTTCTTCTATAGTACTACCAAAAGTTGATAAACCAAATATAACACAGGTGCAGTGAGGTACCCGTAATCCTCATTTCCAAAGCTGTTTTAAGTATGTCTGGCGTGTTTTGTGCCTTTTTACAAATAAGACCGCTTATGCAATCTTACGCTTTGGAATTTTTAGTTATTTTCCTCAAGCCCTGCAGGATGTGGGGGCCATAAACAACTCTACCGGAGGGTCAAATGTCTTTGCATGCCTCCATAGGTTGTTTTTCTATTGCAAACATTATATTTCTTGGAATCACACTGTCACTGATATGTCGCCAGACTTCTGATATCTCCCCGTCTGCTATAGTTGTCCTGTGAATAAATAATAGGAAATTGAGATTAGACGAATAGTTGAAAGTTTTGCTTTATGTCGGCTTAATTTCTTGATTGATATATTTACTATTCCTGCTATTGCCTCTTGTACTGCAATAGTCTCACAATGCTTAGACAGGTTTGTCCACAACTTTCACATCTGAAGAAAGAGAGGAGATTTATTAATTTTCGTTAAGAATAAATGAAGCAGTCTATATGACTTAGAATGGAAAAGCTAATAAATCCAATATCTCATGTTTTATGTAAAAAATATTTTACTGAATTTGGTATATAAACCAACTAATAAAAGGGTTCAGTCAGAAAATTACAAGCATTCGTGGCTCCAAATACTTGAGAAATCAGACTATACAATATAGACCGGTATGAGTGAAATGTTAGGTGAACTTGTTAACACTTTGATTCAATACGCAAATAAAAGTGAATGCGCAATAGTATGTTACAATGAGCAGCAATCAACAATGAGTATATATCCTCACTGATTAAAAAAATCTAACTGGAGGTGCATGAACTATTTGAAACCATAAGGGGTAAGTAAATATGTAATTTCGGCAAATGGGCAACTACGTACCGTACTGAATTAATAACTTCGTAGTATTTGACAAAGGCTGGCTTTCCCACATGTACTTAACAGTGCGATGCCCGGGTGTGATATACAACAATAGTATTCACCTTACTTTTACCGATTTCTTTTTACCCCAACTTTCAAAAATATCATTAAAATCGACAACAACTGTCAAAGCAGGCACGATCACCATTCGTACTACGCCTCGAAAGCAGCACACATCCGATCGTTTTCGTCTCGTCAAGTATGTGCATTGGAGCGTGCTATCGAATACGATCTTCGGACAAAAATGCCGGAGTTGCGCATCATGTTGTTTAATGTCATTGAACTGAGCGACTTGTGCCATCTAGCAGCTAACTATATCTTTCAGCATGTGATCATGTAAAAATGGGGGGGTTATGAGGGGGTAATAAATTTCTTGCGTTTTTCGGGCTTATATTTACTTTGACCGTTCAAACCCGTTCTTTGTGAATAAGATACCAGAAAGTCTTCTTTTTAATTTTGTTATTGCATTTATCTGTCAAAACACTTCTTGGATAATCTCAATAATCTTATGAAATTATGGGGGGTGGCCATCTTACCCTTATGTACTATCATGTTTTTCCAGATGCAAGTTTTGGATGCACGGGAAACAGAAAATCCTAAAGAATGTTGAGAAAATACCAAAGAATATCAAACAGAGGCAAATAACAAATAGAGACTACGATGTACCATCTCATGAGGTTAACACCACGACAGAGATAGAAAGTGTCACAAGTGAACCATGCTGCTCTGTGCTCTCTAACGATATTTTCAAGTAGAACTTCACCAGGAGTTCAGTTAGTTTCTGATAAAGTCAGTGATTCTTTAAGGCAAGAAAAATCATTTGAATATATTTGCCTCTTCCAATAGCCACTCAGAGAGCCAAGAGGCAAAGAAAGCCACTCAGACAGGAATTAGAATGTTAACAAGTGAGAAATATGTGGCCGAACTGTCAGCACTCGCAGAAACAACGCCACCTAGCTCGTTCAGGAAAACTACAGCACTCGCAGAAACGATGTCATCTAGCTCGTCTAAGAAAGTTGCAGCTCCCAGGAAGAAGAAAGAAAATAAACGTAAGAATGAGCGACATGAAAGATATTGTTACAGTAACCTCTGTGCTGTCTGCAACGGCAATTTTTTTGACGACGAAGAGGACGAGGGATGGATTCAGTGCCAGAAATGCCAAAAGTGGCTTCACGATATTTGTGCCGGGATTTATGGAAAACACATTGTGTCCTTCCAATGTGATGACAGCTCTGCTTGAAGCTTTTTTGTATAAATATTTTCATTCGAATGTAAAATTCCATGACGATAGCTTTCATGCTATCCCAGATGTTCTTTTGGTGTTATGATTAAGATTTGTGTGAAAGTATGATCAAATAAAATTTGGCTGCTTTACTAGGTGGTGTTTTATCATACTTTCGTGAACAATTATATGGGTTCACAACTTCAAAAATTTAAGGGGTAAGATGGACATAAGGGGAATTTTCGAATGCCCCAAAAAATTTTCCAAATACATTGCTTATTTTGATATTCCGATAAGAAACAGAACGCAATACTAGTATTTTTTGATGCGATTTTATCACATGTCCGTCATATCCGACCATATGTCCAACTTCCCCGAATTTTTTTTTCGTTTAAAAACGTTTCTGCTGTTGCGATGGTTGGAGACCGGCGGACGCCGCCGAGTGGCTAAAGAGTTCAGCCCCTTATGTTTGTACTTGCAAAGTTTTAGGAATAATTGAAAAAAGGTTTTCGAAATATAGATAATTTTCAATAAGGGGGGCCATCATCCCCCGCCCTACTATATTATTATTAAAGATATTGTTTTTGTGTTTCAAGTTAAAAATCACAGCGACTCCACCCCGACTGTTAAAACGTAAATATATACTACTACGTTAAAGCTATGTACACTGAAGAAATAATATTGTGTGTGTCTATATATCAGTGTTTCCCAACCCGAGTCCGCGGTCTAAAATGAGTCCGCGAAGCGTTTGAATGAGTCCGTAACGAGCCAAAAATTCACTGCGGGTCGCAAACGATTTTGCAAAACCAAGTTACGATTTACGTTAGAATTTACATAAAACATAACAAGCAAGTTTATTCACATAACATTAATGGAGTCAATAATCACTGGTTACTGAGTAGCGCTGGGCATATATTCGAATATTCAAGTATTAGAATAGCAATTCAACTACAGTATTCATAAATTTGATAACAGGTGACGCGACAGGTCACTTGCGATTTCCGACAAAAACACGCGTCGATAGATACCCTAACTAAGTGATATTTCTCGCGAGTTCGAACAACGAGGAATGATTTTTTTTCTGGTGTCAATGGTGGCAACCCAAATTTTCTAAATTAAAAAGAAGCAATACAAAATATATACTAAAAATAAAACGAAGAACACCATAAGTTTTGTTTTAGGATTGTCCGCGACCGATTGAAAACGCTTTTTTAGACATTGCAAATCGCAAAATTTCGGGTGCTACCGTAGTATATGTACCGGGGCATTTTCCCTTAGGATTCTTTGCTTCACTGCCTTAACATTGGTACGTAGGCTACAGTACCGGAGCGCCGTAAGTGTTGTACAAACAGCTCAGATTTGTCGAATTCACAAAAACGCGAATCAAAACAAAATATAATCGGACACTTTACCACGCATTTTTGAGTCCACGGATTGTCATGAAATTTTCTGAGTAATATTGCTTTTATTTTGTCAACACAACCGCAGATTAAAATGATCACAATTAAATTGATAATGAAGCAAGGCGATGAATATGTATTTTTGATTCACTAATACTTTAAATTTTTTTTAATATTAAGTACTAAATCAAGTTGTATATACTTGCAGGAAATTTATAGCAGATAGTAGGATTTTCTCTAACGGCTATAACAAATTTGCAAGATCGCTAAAAATATGTATCAAAACTAAATATAATCAGGCAATATATTCTCACATTATTATGTTAGCAGATTTGCCGTGGCATTTTGAAGAATAATAATGTTTTCATCTTGTCGTAAGTCGACGAATTGCGCGTTACCATGAACACAATTTATTTAAAATAGAAAGACATTTTAAATTCTCGTTGTTGTCATGAATTGAATATTGTCAACAGAAAAGGCCATTATACCTAAACCTAAAAAAGTCGGCTCTTTAACGAACGCGTAATTGCGGAGAATTTCCGATTTTGAAATTCGTTAAAATTCTGTTGTGTTCGTTTTATATTGCTTTTTCACACAGAGTACGGTTGCAATAAACCTCCCAATTGAGCCGCAAAGGTTTTTCGCCGGTGAGAAAATAGTCCGACCAAAAAAGATTGGGAAACGCTGGTATATATGCATGTATGAGTTGTGCGATGTAGGTTACTCCTCACAAGTATCAGCAGTTTAGAACTACTGCGTTAAAATATGATAAAAGACATTAAACAGCGAAAATTATATATATATAAAACTTCAGAACAATAAAACCTACACGAGAGGGTTTGGAATGTTACTCAGATACTGTTTATAAATATGCAAGATTTGCACTCATGCAATAATAGGTCTTTCCATTGTAACTATAACTGTAAACTTGCACTTGATTTTCAAATGATACATGATTTTCAAGTTCCGGCGTATGCCTGCAGGTTGAACGCTTCAAAAACATCATTTGATTTAAAAATTACGGCTGTTATTAAAAAATGAAACTGATTTTAGCGTCGTCTTATTCTACAATTTACTTTATTTATACTTATATGATGAATGCGCATGCAAAATTTGGAGCAGATTCAACCTGGCTTTCGTGAGATATCGCGTGCATCTAACAGACAGATGCCCATCAACATACCGATCGAGATCGATAAATAATAACGACCGTTGGGAATTTTTTTTTCGATACTTTCAGTTCAGTACATGTCTGCTACGATTTCCGAGGTTTAAGACAAAGTTTCCAATCCTCTTTTTTTACTCGAGATAAGAAAAAACACTTTTCGTTTGAATCAAATTTTAATTAAAGAAAAATCATAAACGAATTGGCAGCAATTAAAATTTTATAATCACAATTGCATAGTCCAGATGAAAGAACACACAAATCTTATTTAGCAATTGAGAACTAATAAGACTGAGTAACAGGGAGAAGCATAAAAAATGCGAATGCTTCCGCATCTCCACATCTGAGGATTATGAAAAACCACTTTTTGCTCGAAAATTAACCTTGCAAAAAGTGAGAAAATGAAACGATAAATTAAAAATGAATGCCAAGGAGTAAAATAAAAAATACAGGGAAGAGTTGCGTCTATTTAACCACCACTCTTCAAAACCTGTGAATGATTATAATATCTGCAAATGCATTGATGTCGCATTACACACAAAACGAACTTTTACACATACTGCGGTAAAAGTAAACACTTTTGAACACCAATCGTACTGCACAAACACTTTGTCATCATACCAACGCTAATAAACAAAGCATTTCATCCTCAGATAAGCAACACCGAAATTAGATTAATCACATACATTTCTAATAAATATTATCTAATAATAAAATATTGCAGACCTGATGTAAATATCCTATCCTATCTTCGATTACCACATTTTTATGCGGAAATAAGTAAATAATTAATTGCTGAAGAAGATTAATGAAGCAACATTTTCGTGGTAATTTTACAGAATCAAATAAATAATCGAACCCAGCACGGATCATGGTTTCAAATTTATTCTAAAACTGATGTTCGCGGGGGGGGGGGGTGTTGTATTATGGAATAGATCACAAGGGAGGGACGACATGAAACTATGATTTGAAAAAGCTTCTTATTCAGTGAATATCTATTGAAGAATTCAGATAATTTAAATTATCATTACTTTTCTATAAAATCCGTGACTTACTGTAAAATGAATAAATACATTCACAATAGTCTACCAAAATATCAAGGTTAATGGTCGAACAAGATTTCTTGAATGGGAAACAATTTGAATATGGACATCCATATGAAAAATCATCATTTTAAGTATATCTCTTGCATCATTCATTACATGCCAAACTCATTTAATGCTATTCCCAAAAAGAATCTTCAAGTGAATAAATTTTGAGTCTCATGTCAGTAAAATAATCCTATTTCAAAAACACCCAGAACAGTAAAACTACAGTGTTTAACAGTTTTGATCAAAAAATTAGATTCAATATAACTTGAGAAAAAAATTATAGTAATATTATTATTTTAAAGAATGAATAGGTAGAGGATGTGCTTCTGTGTTAAACACCCATTTATTAAGAGGTAGAAGATTTCGGTCATCTGAGAACAAAAGATAAAGATACTTCAGCGTTTCTCCAAGAAAAAATGATTCCATCTTGTCCATTGGTTGAGTATTTCTAGGATCCATGACGTTTTTGATCGACGTGTATCCACCAGGCACCTAGACATACGAGATATTGTAGATTATTCTAAATTGCGCCAATGATATGATATGAAGGTAAATCCTAAAATCACTTTACCTTTGAATATTTTTCAAATGCTTGTGCAGCATCCCACCCCCAGTCTCGGTACTTTGTGTCGTTTGTAATCTCCATAAGTAAAAATATGATTCAACTGTCTCTGGTCTCAAAAGGTTATGTCGATCTAAAGGCTGTCGTAAATATAAATAATTGAAATTGTTATATCAAGGAACAATACATTCCATATCAGGTTGCAAATGGTACTGCCAATACCCATACAGCACTTTTCCATATACTAAAATCAAAATGTTATAAATTGAAGAAAAATCTTTCATACATTTTCTGTTCATTATTATAGCACATAGTCATTCATCAAAAAACTTTCTTTCATTAAAAAGTAAAAAGGAAATTAATATTAAAAACTTTTTATAATTTATCGTGTCCGGAAAACTTGCTGCATGAAAAATCGCTGCAAGAGCATTTTGCTGTAAAACAAGTATATGTGATAGCATGAAAAATCGCCGCAAGAGCATTTTTTTGTAAAACAAGTATTTGTGATAAAAACATTTAGGTTTATAGGGTAAGGCTCTTGTGGCAATTTTTTCATGCGCTAATTTTCCCTACGCAGCGAAATTTCCTGTGGCGAAGTTTCTGCGACGAATTTTCCCAGAACCCTAATTTATGTCCATGAAAGAACTGTCAAAACTGGAAAATCTAATTTGGTATTCACATACTGAAAAATAAACAACAATAGAAAGATAAATGGCAGACCATCTCTGCAATTAATTACACTTAAGCAAACACAGATTACCTTAATTACAAGATCTTCTCTAACATTTGATTTAGGTTGAAGTATGTAATCTCAGGACTGAGACCTGTAGGTGTTCTGGCATACATTTCATGACAAGTATTTGTGATATTTTTTGCCAACTGCATGTGTTCTTTTGCAACCTTTGGATGTTGACTTTTGATATTGACTGATCCAAGAGCTAATGATCCACCCAGGAAACAAACAAGGTGATCCTGTGAATTTTCATCAAAAGTCATCGTTATTATAGTTGTGATATTAAATAGGAGCTTATGAAAGTAAAAGTAATGAAAAACTTAAAATTTAAATACGAAAACTTTTAAATATTTTGGTTGAGATGTTAATAAATACTTAAAAAGATCTACTGAACTAACAATCACAAGCATCTACGGATGTGTGTAAAGTGCTACCCTTTTATGGAAGAACAGAAGTCTATCCGGTTCAGCATCACAACTATTACACTGTGTGTGGGGTGAATGGGCATGGGGTCTTATCCAAGATTTTCAACCTATGATGCCAACATACAAATTGAACATAGATTTGGTCTTGAGGTAATTGTTCCGACGCTCCTAAAGTAGGTGTGCCAAGATGCTGCACAACCTGAACCCTAACTTACTATGTTCAGGTTGTGCGGCATCTTGGTACACATACTCTGGGAGAACCATTGTCCCAACCTTGCACTGTTTTATTATTGAAGTATTGCAAACATAAATAATTTCCATAACATACAAAACCAATTACCATTTTTGCACTTGGAGTTCTACCGCCCAAAAGTTCACCAACGTATGTTAAGCCGGAAGGAATAGATTCTCCGATCAAATGCATCTGCATTCCCTTTATCGCAGCTAAATAGTCATCTATATACATGCTTTCTGTGCAACCAGTCTGTAATGAATAGCAATGTAGTTTAAGAAAAAAGGATAGGATTTAGATATTTATACAGAGGAGAGGAAAGTTGATAAGATGATGTAATCATATGTCGAATGACGGCCTCTCATCCTGTTACCAGTCCATGTTCGATACAGGATAAGTTTTCAGATGCATGGATGCAGCAGTTACGTGAACCACCATACGGCAGCGAAGAGTCCAATTATTCCAGCATAGGATTCGAACCCACACAGGGTAATGAGAGGTGCAGTGGCCAGCCTATTCCTAACGTTTAGCAAAATTCACATAATTCAGACAAATTTTATCGAATTGCACCTTATTAAAGACATATCATCTCTTAGTATTTTCCTCACAACGAATAAGGAATAGTATAAGAATTTCTGAACACAGAGCTATGTAGAAAATCCAGACTCTACAAACATTTCGTAACCCAAAACGATGGATGTTATAACACCTTACCTGGAGCCATAACTTGATCAGATATTCATAATAACTATCAGCACGAGCCCCAACAGTTAATGTACTGCCTGCTCTAAAGTTTCCACGGTTTGCAATTGATCCACATTGGTACAAGACCATCTCGTTTACCTGCCAGGTTGTGAACATGAAGCGAAAACCTGTCAACCTGCATCCTGTATTTATGAAATATGAATTTGATAGGAAATCATCTAGTCAGGTAGACATTCTAACCTGATTACGGTTCGCTAAATACTTGCCACAATAACTAATATGTGATACAAGAAAGCAATGCTCAAATATATAACATGAATACCGTGAATCGGTACTGGTACAATAAGACCTTACCATATTATAGAGTTAGCGGAAAAAATCGTAAAAAAATAAAAATTTAAATAAAATAAATAGCAAAATTCAGAGTTAACATCTGGTCCCACAGGAAATTTGGAAAAGTAAAACAGCATTCTAGCAACTGTTTCCATTTTTTGAGATTACTAAAAAAAAATTATATTGGTTCATCCATTAATTGTAAATTTCTAAAAAAAATTTCAACAACGAAAGCAAGTTGCAATTAGACATATATAAATAATATAATATTTTAGAATTTTGACAGAGAATTTTGAACATTTAATTTCGGACAAGTGAAAAAACTTCATCAGTACTTATCAAGTGACTTGTCAAAAATTAAAAAAACGTTTCGGAATAAAATCATTTCATCTTTCATCCAAGATAATCCAAGTTTAAACATAATCATATTAGGCAACAGATAAAACAGATAGAACTGCTTCTCAAATAACCAGGAAATTTGTAATCATACCATACCTTATATTTCATATCTCCAGTTAAAAACGAGAGATCTCTGAATTCAAGTTGTATTGATGTAATTTCAGATACCGTGCTATCAGGTCCCCACTTAGGTGGATGGACTTTGCCGGTTTTTAGATTTACGTCCGAGTATGGAACAGCAGAAGGTGATTGAGACAGAGCTGGGAGAAGGCGATTCCCAATATCGACCTGTGATAAGATAATTACTATGAAACTAATGTTTATATTAAAAAATTAATACCTTGATTTTTTGCAAAAAGAATTCATGGTATGAAAACATCACAGAAACCTTAGAAGGCCACAACAACCTAGTAATCTTTTAATGACCTTCAAACATGCAATTATTTCCCAGAACCAAGGGCTAATATTAGTGATGTCCTATACAGAAGGAGTTATTTATAAGTACAGCGATATTAATATGCTCCGAAAAGAAATGCTTTTTGGCCTATGCTCTTTTGGACTTTGCTATCATGATCGTCATAAAACCGACACAAAGAAATTTTAGTGTTAACTTTTCTTAGCTAAGAATTACTTTTATATAAACTTTCATTAAAACTACATAATACACACACCATGCATAACTTGTATTGAAAATTACATTAGATTGCTATTTCCCTATGCATGAGTGATAATTTATTTCTGGTACTAGTTTTTATTAATATGGTATAAAATTGAAATGGTGTATCCAGTTCCATTGAATGTATGATCAAATCAGCACACCTCACTTGGGGTTATATTAAAAGAAACAAAATAATAGACAAATTGCAAAGGGGTTAAGGTTAAATAGCAAAGATCCTGGTAAATCACATTACTTACCAGCTTAGAGTGGTAGTGTGGAGTGTCATATCAATTTCAATTTATTCAGAAATAATTTTTTTCATTTAAGATTCCGTAATTTCACTCACTGCTTTATCCAGATATATTCTATCATGTGATAGATGATACATGCTCAACATTGAACCAAGAACACGAATTGTACATTCAAATAAATTCACGTCGACATCTTTATCAAAAGACAACTCATTTGCAACAAAATTTCTTGCTTCATCGTATTCTGTGAAGAAAAAATAGATTTGAATCTACTATGAGTCTGTATGTAGGTAATGTTTGAAGCGAATGATGCTGAAAATAAGTGAATTTAAAGAAACTTGATATTTGGTAATATTCATCGGACATACTAAAGCTTCTAAACACTTTTATAGATATAAAATGGATGTTATTTTGCTTTGAATCTACAAGCACCAGCATTCTTATATGTTTATTATACTAATGCTACTTCGAGCACTTAACATTTGAATTCCAAAATTTAGAACGTGGCACAAGTTGTAAAACCTATAATTTGCAATATGTTCATTAATAAAATTAAAAAAAAATACAATATAATAAGGCTGTTTTCTTCAAATTGAAACGTTTGTAAGCTTCAGTCATGAAAATATTTGTGTGATATTGAATAATAGAATATGTATAAATTATATTTGGAGGTAGTGCGTTTTTTTGAAAATGTGATTGATTTGACATTTTAGATTGATACAGATATGATTTACTTTTTCACAATAACATAAATGTAATATTTAAACAAAATTTTCCATACCTGTTTTCATACCCATTATATACAAAGTGTCCAGTGAATCTAGTATAGTTAATCCTACAGAAAACCAGTCATCATGACGACGTGATATAGGATGAAGATGATCATGACCCCATGCATATTTCTTGTATCCTTCCCATGCATGTTTCATCATATTAACAACAAAAACTTGTCTCTCAGTTCTAGGAGCTTGGCTTATCATGGCATCACCTAAAACATAACAAAAGACATGTTCAATAACCTAACATTTAATATGTTTAAAGCCTAGAAGGGCAGTTAACAGTAGCAGAAAGTCTTATCTTATAAATTCACAAATAACTTCAAATTGACAAAATTTGAATTTAGACTTACCAATTAGATTTTCATCTTTGGGGCCAGGAATATCTAATGGATCTGGATTTTCAACCTGAAACAGAAGTGAAGGGGTTGTGTTGTAACAGGAGAAATGAAAAAAGAAAAGAAAAATTACCGTTTGAACACAAAAATGACACTGAAGAAAACATGCAATTTAAATCAATTCTCAAAGTTTCTATTAAGCTAGGTTTATAGCATCTTCAAACAATTTATATATCAACAAATGTTACATCATGTAAAAAGCATTCCAAAACCATGCAAATATAATAACTAAAGAAAAGAAAGCCAGTATCACCAACAAAGAATAATGTTGGAAAATGAGGGTAACAATATTTCATTTGAGCAGACAGATATATATAAACAGGCATAGAATTGACAATCAAGCTCAACAACAAAAAATGATTGTTACTCAAACTAATTAAATATAATCAAACGGAAAAGTCATTCATAATACTTTGATTCACACATTTAGGTTTGCTAAAAATGTCAAAATAACATGGAATATAGATAAGACATTTGATACTGACATAACTTTTCACATGAATTATACCTTTTTCTTAGTACCAGTATTAACAAATTGACTGTCAACAGGGTCTGGAATATTTTCAATGTCAACCGCAACCATTTGCATATTCCCCTCATTCGGTCCGTTATGTCGGAATGGCGGGCTATGTTTGATGACAACTGGCTTTCTCTGCTGAATAAATAGGGAACCACATGCAAATTCAAAACCCAAAAGCAATAAGTAGGAAATTATATGTCTGAACTACAATTGATTTCTACTACTAACTACTTGACTACAGAATGGTACTAACGAATCAATTTTTGTACAGCGTATTTTTTAACAATAGACTTAAACATGACTATATTGAAGGATTAACTAAGACATAATGCTAAGTTGAACAAACCACAAGGCATTATTAGGTATAGTAGAAAGTCACCAATAACCAGCAAACCAACCAGGAAAAAGAGGGAAAATGAGGCTATATTTTATAAATACATGCTGCTAGAATTCGAAAAAAAAAAATTTCAAACTCAATATAAACACTCACAAAGTCTTTCTGAATTTTATTTTCCAACTCTTGAAGAGCCTTCTTTTTCTGATCATCTAATTGAGGTAACTGAATTTGGTTATCTCCAATTTGTCCAGTATCAATATTATGTGACTTGATTTTCTGTGCCTCCCTGTTTGAAAAGGAAGCGTTAATTATCAATGCGTAGTAGAGTAGAAATTGAACAATTTGACAAAATTAACATTTCATTAGAAAATTTATGAATAGGCCAAATATAAGAATAATGAATGTTCCCAAAAGTTATAAAAAATGTTGCCATAAGAAAAACAAAAAAGCAGAATTTTGGATAAAATAGGGGGTCTCATATAACTCAAGAAAATTCACAAGAAATACAAGTGTTATCCATATACCAACTTATTCTACTTTACCTTCTGAAATTTTAAATAGATTGTTTCATCATTTACAAAAAAAAGCAATTTGTTCTCAACAACAACAGCAACAATTTACCAATACAATTTATACAAAGGCCTACACTCATGTCCAACACATATTTTTTTTAAATATTATCAATTTCAAATTTGTTTAACCTTCGTTTTTGTCTCCATTGATTAGCGGCCTCCATTTCTTCTTCTTCTTTTAGATATTTGATTTGAAAACATTAATATTGACAAAACAGTCAAGAGTAGAACCAAGAAAATCAAATTTTTTTGACATCTTGTTGCACGTTTCCATATCTAAAATATCAAAAAGACAATGGAATTTAGTCAAAATGTTTACCGTCAACAGAGAGCTTAGCTAAAAGACCACGAGTTGCAAAGTTTTAAAATTGAACAAATTAAAATTCCAAGGATTCAGATAACTGCATTAATATAACAAGACATAAGACATGATTAAATAGGGTGGAAGAAGGCAATTAAAATTCAAACTTATGTGGCAATATAAGCAATCTAGAAGTTGAGCATATTGTTATTTAAATCACATTGTTAAAACAGTAAAATGAAATGCAAGTTTTAAGAAGTGAATAGACATTTACACAAATTGCTTCACAGAAAAAAAGACAAATGGACAATATATAGTCTAATAAAAAATAAAGTCTGCAAAAAATAAATTTGTCTTTACTACAGTACTTTTCACAAAATATTATTGAAAATCTGTCTATCAATCGCCAAAAGTAAAATCTATTTTAATCTGTCATTGCAGCATTGTGATAAAGTATTTTATGACAGTATTCAGGTCATTCAGTATTCATCTCCCGGGTATACTCAACTGTAGGTCACTCTTCGGGATATTAGAGATTCCCCTAAATAGGCTACATGAAATACTGAAATAACAAAAAAAGCTAAGTTCTCACCCGAATCAATGAAAACGATCTCGATTTCTTCGTCGGCGCTGAGTCGGAAACGGGAATAGAAACGTAATCCTTGGATCCATACATTTTTTTGTAACCAATAAAGCAGTAGGCCTACTTGTAAACTTGTCAGATGAAAATTACAGAGACTGTACTTCCATACTTCAGAATATCACAAGCTAACAAAAAAGCGTTTGCAGCCAAAATGCGCAAACGTCACTTCGTGCTGACATTCAGTCCAATATTACGATCATACTACCGAAACTCATATGAATGTGCTGCTCCTCGGATACAAAAACTCTGATAATAATAATATATTTATCCAAAAGGAAAAGTTAACGTTGCTAAATATTTTTATACTTATCTCAAAATATTATTATTGCTAACATAAGGATATAAAAAAAATTTAGAAATGTGAATATATATTTTTCAGAAGTGGAAAAATACATTGATAAATCCACTAGCTTAAAATTATATGAAATTCGGTAATATCTCAGCTGGAAGGGTTGACGTTGCACATGAAATGATGTGGTCGTGTAATTCTGTAATAGCAAAATGATCACTCATAGTCCGGCAGATAAGGGGCCTTTTTGGGCCCAACCTTGTTTTCAGACATTTTTTTTGGTGCTCCCGAAGTATGCGAACCAAGATGACGGACATCGGAACGTAACATGGGTAACAGGTTAGGGTTAGGCGATAATTTTTTTTCCAATTTTAGTCCTATTATCAGTTCGAAGACTAGCCAAGAGCCTCCCGTATTATTTATACCTAAAATTATGGCCTAACCCTAACCTAGTACACATATTACATTCCGATGTCCGCCATCTTGGTTCGCATACTTCGGGAGCCCCGTTTTTTTTATTTGTGATTATTCATCTTGTTCTTGAGGTCATTGCCCATCATTTCTACATGGATGTGCAGTTTGCAGCCTTGAGCAATCTTTTTTACGGCTTGATATTTGTATTAGCGTTTTTCGTCTAATCTGTGTATTTAATGGCGCACAACCTGAACCCTGACCTGTTACAATAGTATGTTCAGGTTGTGCGCCGTCTTGGTGCACAAACTACGGAAGCACCAAATTCACCAGAAAATAAAATCAACAATTTTTAGGTATTTGTTGAATCCCAGCTTTGGGTCGCGACCCATATATAGAGGACTTGCACGGGTCACGTGACCTTGTGTACTGGACCGCAAAAAAACAAAAACGTCCATTTGGCTCCTGTCAGTTGCAAGTCGGATTATACGTTTCCGTTTTATTTGGCTGTTGAAAATGGTTATTTCGTATTGTTCCGTTGGTTGTACGTATAGTATAGACTATAGACAACGAAATGGATCTTCAGTTATATTCCACTGTTTTCAAAAGATACGGAACGTCGCGCAATGTAGATACCATCTATTGGCAGGACTGCTTGGTGTAAAGTCCAGGAGTCATCTCGCTTGTGTTTCACTGTTTGCGGACAGCACTTCGTTGATGGTGAGTGATAATGTGCCGTTATCAATTTCTTTCAATATTCATAAGCTCCCTCATTTCAATGGAAAGCAGATGACAAACTACTGTTATTGGTAGGCCTAGGCGTAGGCCTACTTGCAGACTTGACTTTGGAAGGAATTAATCATCAATTGCCATAAGGTATTGTTTCTCTAGTTAGCAGGTAATCTATTAGTAAGTGTGAAAAGTTGAATACATACCTTAAGTTTAACACCACTGCTCATCCAAAAAATAACCAGAATTCAATTGAATTCGCCATCTAGGAATACGCTCGCCACCGCATCTCTGATCACCCTGGTAGTTTCACAGGTTCCAATCCCATGCGAGGATATTTATGTTCGAGAGGATTGCAGCTCTCCTCCCATTGAGGATGGTTCACACGACCGTTGGTCGATTACAACATCCCCCACCATCAAGTCCATGTTTCTGAAAACAAATAACTGACTAACTAATCCTGACATAGAATGGTAATATACGTATGCTCATTGATTGAAATGAGGACGCTCATAAATATTTAAAGAAATTGATAACGGCACATTATCACTCACCATCAACGAAGTGCTGTCCGCAAACAGTGAAACACAAGCGAGATGACTTCTGGACTTGACACCAAGCAGTCCTGCCAATAGATGATATCCACATTGCGCGACGTTCCGGATCTTTTGAAAACAGTGGAATATAACTGAAGATCCATTTCGTTGTCTATACTATATGTACAGACAACGGAACAATACGAAATATCCATTTTCAACAGTCAAACAAAACGGAAGCGTATAATCCGACTTGCAACTGACAGGAGCCAAATGGACGTTTTTTTTGCCGTCCAGTAAACAAAGTCACGTGACCCGTGCAGGTCCTCTATATGGAAATACTGTTGAAACATACTCGTAAAATAAAGAGTAGGCTACTATTTCAAAATACCCGCTTTTGTTGCAATTAACAATACAAGCCTGCTAATGCAATTGGCAGTGGTTCAAGTGAATGGCCCTCTCCCCGAGCATCGACTTCCTTGTTTACTTCGTGACATTGGCCAATGAGCAAGATGCAAAAAGTGACGTCACAATGCTCCCTTTTTGCATCCGCTCAGACACTTTTCTAACTTAGACAGATTTTCAAGCGTGGTCGTAAACATTGCCTGGTTTTCGCGTTTTTGAACTCTATTCTTAGTTTTCTGTTGTGTTTCGGAAACTTAAAAATAAATCAGATAATTTAATGATCACTCTGTCTTCCTGGGAGTTTTAATTTAATTGCAGTAATAAAAAATTAGTGTAGAAATAGCTGTGATAGACTAGGCTATAATTCTTTACCGGTACTTTAAAAAAACATATTGTTGTATGCAATGAATCATAATGATGGTTTGAAACACATACTCCAGTTTACAGGCGCCAACTTGCAAAGGCACTCTTAAAATACTCCCGAAAATTTTGCTATGGTAAAGTATGAGAGAATTTTTCGGGGGTCAAAGGTCGGCGAAAGGTCCATACAGACCTGGTGGAGAACAGTCAATTATTTTTAGCGAGATTGTTATGCAGGGATGATCACGACGATGCAGTGAAAGATAATGCTATCACGAGAACAAGAATGAGAAAATTGCTACATTTTATAGTATATCCCTGGGAAAGATGTATTTTCATTCTTATGTTCCATGCCAATGCTTTTCAAACTACCAAAGACTCTCAACACTTTTGCTTCTTCTCTTCTATAAAAATACATTGTTTATATATTCGCATTTCCATCTGTTTGTTCGTGCTCCCAGATAACCGATCAGCGGCCTCCAAGGAGGACGGGGTCCCCTTTTAAGAAACCCTGTCATAAACTAAAAGAGGCCCGTGCTTCTCTTGCCTGTTGTCATGCTGTCCCTGAATTCAGCTACAACAAAAATTCACGAAAACGGATTTTAAATTTTATGATTTATTAATATTCTCCAATGAATGATATACGGGTGGTAAAATGCCAAGTTATTCCAACAACATGATCATGTTTTGCAATTTACAACCAATATTTTTATGTAACTTTGTTTGACAGAGCCCCAAGAGCTCTAACTACAAATAGCAAAAATGTGAGAAAAAGTCACACTACAACATTGTCAAATGTGCTGTATTTACAATAAATAACAGGTTTACCAAAAAGAACTACACGAAAAATGGTAAAATAAAGATCAATTCAGCAATATCTACTTGGGGATATGCATCTGTTGATGATTTTATGTGTTTGTTTCGGAAGTTTAATAACAGAATTAATTGTGGTTGTTGGGGATGTTTAAAAAAAGGTTGCATGAAAAAAAGTTTTCACAAAATGTCAAGGTTTGATAGTAGTAGAGAAGTAAAAAAAATACTCCCATGTTTTTTTCATTTGATAACCACGCCACAGAACTTCCCCGATAAATATACGCAGCAATTGCGAGAGGCAGAAATGCCAAGATGGGATTTCATCGCATTGCAAACCAATATTAGCAATTCTTAATATATTCGCGCATTCCCATCTGAACAGCGTGGAAAAGATTATACCCATCTACACACTTTAAAACTATGTCAGATGAGCGTCATATTATCGAATATCAGTAAAGGAATAGTGCAATGGGAAAAGACATATAAGGCGGAACTTTCAGTAGTATGCAATCAAATAATCTTATTGTAGAATATATTTAAAAACATTTCGTCACGCCAACTGCAGTCCGAAACTTTTTGTCTCTGGCTGAGCTTAGATACCAATTGGCACTCATGTAAACTGGTAAGACTGGCACGCGATGGAGCAGATACTAAGATCCATCCCCCAGCTGTCATTTGAGTGGGTACTGCTGTTTTTATTGCAGATGTTACTGATCTTTTTGTATTAAAGATTTACTGGCATCACCGATTTAATGTCAAGATGTTGGAAACCAACACGCAATATTACAAAACTTACTTTCAACACGCGGTTTGAATGAATGAAAAAGCTGAAACTAGTATTCTTTAGAACAGCATACAAATTCTATGGAATGAAATCATACACAAAAGCTCGTCAAAAACCTATAGCTCAATAATCAAGTGGAATTTGATGCATGTGCGCAAAAATGTGCGCGTTACTACGTACAACCGAAGCACGCAGGAAAATGTGTGTGATGTACTAGTATTCAAAACGTTTGACTCAACTATGTTGGCATAACAGGTGCACATCTCGGTTTCGCATACGCATACCTTCTATCTCCACAAGGATATATTAATTTTGCCAAAGTCAATGCAGCACTGAAAGGTTGCGGTTCTTCCAAAAGAAAACACGTTACACATCTTAGATACCAGTGGATGGTTTTACATGGCCTTGTTCGGAGTGAAAGACGAGGTCAAATATTCCAATCCATTCAACTAATAAAATATTTCCCAAGTCCTAAGCTTTGGCAAAACGAAATGCCCGCGGCAACACAAATGTAGTTTGAAGAGCGCAAAGAAAGTGGCTAGATGCTGTCGATGGATCTTGGCTTATAGTAGTGAAATAAACTACCATTTATTCTACTAAAATTGAATTTCTCATTGTAAAGGATTCAATTACTATGTATGCAAAACTAACCCTTGTAGTTATGAAATAATTGTTTTAACAAAAAGGTGCAAAACCTGAATATTGTATGTATACCAGGTTAGGGTTTAGGTTGTGCCCCATCTTGGTACGAATACCTAAATTCCACTCGGAAAAAATTGCTCAACATATATACCCACACCCACATGGGTATCAATATTTAGGTCAACGACATTATATCTAAACAATAAAAATAACTTTATGTTCCAAAACAATGTTAAGGCCCGATTCTGCCCCGGACTATCACAATTATAAATATTTATGAACGAGAATAACTAAAAATGTCGCGCATTGAATCATCAACGTATTTCTACTAAGTTGTTTAATTACATTTGTTCTAGCATAAATAAATACTAATACTAGGTTCTAGGATTATAAGGTATTTCCCAACTAGCACAAGACAAAAAGCGACGTGTCTTTTTATGGTTGTACCTAAAACTACAGTATGTCTTTTGTATCGTTTTATTTCCTACATTTTCTCATGTGAATATGACAAATAAGTACGACCCCCAAAAAATTCTTTTCATACTTTACCATTGCAAGATTTTCGATGCCTATTTTCAAAGTATTTTTGCTGGTTGTCGCTTGCAAACTGGTTTACAACTCGAGCTACGCCCAAAATATGGACACGTCTGTTCGCAGTACAGTACGGTTTACCGTACCGTCATATCACAGTCTACAAATATATTCACACCAAGCGGAGCAGTACAGTAGGACACAAAATGGCGTCTGATGTCCGAAGAACGTTTATTGACGTCATAGCAAACAAAAACAAATCTCACAGAGCTAACAGAAATATTTATAATGAATAAAAGTAATAGCCTTTTGGGGAAAAATTTTATCTTCAACCACTGAAAATTTCAAAGCAATTGGTCCAGTATTCGAAGAGAAAAGCGATTTTTTTTTTAAATGATGGAGACAAATAACAATGACAAAAAAATTTTGAAACGTTCATTATGTCCACTACGTGTCCAATAATATATATCCAAGTGCCACTTACAGTACTGATATCTAATTTAAGCCTACCTAGTCTATTGCAACATTTTCGGGACCAGGATTTATTTTATTCACAACTGATTTTCAGAAACACAAATAAAAACTGACAAATAACGGTTCCATAAATGGCAATTGTTACCACTTTGTTCACTCATCGTTGATTAGCCGTTGGTACGGAAATACACAGGGAAATTGATGCTTGAGAAACATCCATAGTATGCGTTCTGTTAATTTTTAATCAAAATATTTTATAGGCCTACATAGATTGTAATTTTATATATTGAAATCAAATTTATCTTGAACAAACGTCTGAAGGTCAAGCCAACCCTCATTTTAAGCATAGTTTGCGTTCGAATTATAAAACGCTTCGTCCAATAAAAAAAAACTGCGGATTCAAATGTGTCACGAGAATATATAAATATATATATATTCAAATTTACAAATTCATATTCAGCATGCAAGTAATAGCATACATTTGCTGTGACAAAATAATAGCCCATTATAAAACAGGCGGGCAAAAGAAGTCTAAAATAAAACTTAAACGTAAATAATCAAAAATATCAAGAATTTCCAAAAGTAGCTATACCTGCTTACTCAAGTACAAATATCTTTAATAAATACTAATAATTCCTTTCACTTTCACATATGCACAGAAGTGCGCACGCTGTGCACAGAAAAACGTTCAAATATTAAATGAAATTATATTGGTAAAATGTAAATGCCGTTGTTAATATCGTCAATGAAAGATCATGTGTCCATATTTTTGAGCATTGCTTTCTTGATTTTCCGAATTGTTTTCTGTCACTATTTTTTTAAGTGCCTAGATGCTTCACATGCCCTCAAATATTTCCATGTTCTCATTTTATGCCCATTTCATGTCGGGTATGAGATTAATTAGTTATTTGTTTTCTGAAGCATGGACTTGAGTGTCCCTTTTGTCGTTATCCAATAATTGAAGTTATAGAAGTAACTGTGTAGTATGTTATCATACAACTGATTATGTTTTTCTTTTCTCCTAGCGCAGATTTTGTGTTGTTTAATAAATAAATTCTTGAATATTTTTATTTAAAAAAAAGCATGGCATCAATTCAATTTCGACTCCGGGCACCTCTCGTCGTCATAGAGAAAACAGAACATTGCTCTGAAAGTCTGGTTTTTGAGATTGTGTAAAGTAAATTACATTGTTTGTTGAATAAATCAGTAATTTATTCATTTGTTTTTGATTAATAATAGTGTAAGCAATAGTACCGTTAATACACCAATATGCCTGCAGCGGATGAACCAGTAGAATCTGAAGAAACGCAAGAAATAAAATTTGATGATGATAACATTGTGATGCACTGTGCCTTACGCGGGGATTTGGATATGCTTAAAGCGTGGGTATACTGAATATTCAGATGAACTATTTTTTCGCCCGATCTGCATTCAACATTCTGACACTATGCCATTACTAAATTCTAGAAAATATCGGAATATTGTTATTGAATTATCGAATAGCATATTGTTCACAAACTTATCACAAGAATCGAATCTATGGAACCAATTTGGGAATTCATTACTGATTTTGCAATGAATCGTTTAATTTTCATCATTCAGAAAAGGGAGAAGTTGTTAGAAATTTATTACATTTAGTTACCGACCTAAATTTTGCTGTTTTTGTCAACTTGCCTGACTTGTGTTAAAAGCCTGAAAGTATTGCTCCATTCTGAATCTTGTCCACTCTTTTGCAGTTTTGTGTGCTTGTTTTTGGTGGGTGGACACGTACTTGTACACTTTTCAACTTTGTTTTAAGTTATACTTGCCTTCCAGGTATCTCTGCATTTTGTTTGTCTTTTTACTTTTTGTGTTGTTTATGTCACTAATGTCAGGGAACCGAAATAAAATGATTGATGATTGAATATATATCTAATTTATTAGGATAGGATAGGATTTTACATATTTATCCCGGGGAGAGGAAAGCCGATAAGACGGCTTATTTATATGGCGAACCACGGCCTCTCGTCCGGTTACCATTCCAAGTCGGGTATGGGATTAGGTATATTGTTTTTCGGAAGCATGGACTGGTGGTGGAGGAAGCCGTAACCGACCAGCGGTTACGTGAACCACCCAACGGTGGCGAGGAGTCCAGCAATCCTCTTGCATATAACCATCCCTGCATGGGATGATGCAATTGTGTCAAGGAAAGCTCGATATATAGGAACTGTTTAGGTATGGAAAAACAATATTAAAAAATGATTCCGATTTAGCATGCATATGTCAGTATGTGCAGATGTGTAAAAATATTTTTACACTGTAACTTACACATCTGCACATACTGACATATGCATGCTAAATCGGAATCATTTTTTAATATTGTTTTTCCATACCTAAACAGTTCGTATATATCGAGCTTTCCTTGACACGATTGCATCATCTTCAGGTGTATGCCTATGCCATATTTGCTTATGAAAAGATTATTCTTCGGTATTCCTCAAGTCTGCATGTACTGATGTAGGCTACTATAAAAAAGATTTGAATCAGTATAAAGATGATATTTTTATGCAAAATTGATCAGAAGAAAGTCACATTTTACATATACATGTTACTGTGTTACTACTTTACCTACAACTGAAGCACTGAAATGCTTAAGCGTAAATGTTAATTTGATATTTTTGTAAATGCCAAATTGCTTTGTTTAGATTGGAATCTGTAAATATGAATCGTTTTATTATAGGGAGCAAAGGTGTTTTAATACTATTCATAACAATCGTTTTTACCTTACATTACTGCAATGTCTGAATGTCAAATATGTCTGAAAATTCAGCCAAGCTTCAGCAAATTAGATTTTGACAGTTTGATCCAGTCACGTTGGTTGGTTAAGTTAAAAGTATAACAATGAAATATTCAGCCTAGTATTTTAATTCAGGGGTGCTCAACACGGGGCACGCGTGCCAAATTTGCCACGCCATACGCTCAAACGTGGCACGCGATGGTTTTGTAAAAAAAAAAAATTATGATATACAATAAAATATCACGTTTATATCAAAATCAGCAGTTTTTTTTTTCAGGACATTGAATTGTTTCAATAAATAGATATTCGTTATTATGTATTGTTATTGCAATTTGTTTGTTTTGCGGGAGTTAATTTACAATACCACAATTGTGCGTGGCACGCGACAAGATTATTTTGAAAAAATTTGGCACGTATCCTCATTTGAGTTGTGCACCCCTGTTCTAATTACTCCTAAACGTTTTTTGTTACAAAAGATTATTGACACCTGTTTCATTTATACTTAGTGCACTGGATAATAACGATGACCCACACCATGATGCTGCATTAGAAAAAATCAATCAAAGAAATAATGTTGGGAAAACACCATTAGAAATAGCATGCATGCTTGGAAGAGAAAATATTGTGCAAGAGTTGATCAAACGTGGAGTTGAAGTTAATGACCAAACAGGAGCAGGTAAAATTACTCTACTTTATTGGTGACTGTAGATTTTGGTTGACAAAATAATAAATCTTTCTCTCTCTCTACATCATTTTTTCAATCAGTGAATATTGAAACAGTTCTATCACATTTCATCATTGATTAGCAAAATAGGATTTATCGTATTTCTTTGTGCATAATACACACCCATAGATAATACGCATGTGTATTTTTGCACATCTGTGGCGAGAATTTTTCAATCTCCTTGCATAATACGCATAGGGGATTTCTGTTCCTCTAGCAGCGTTGGTGTTTTCTTCGCGGAAGCTTTTTAGACATTTGTCTGCATTTTGTTAACTATTTCTCCTAATTCATCAGTTGTCTTTATGGTGTAATGATCTGCCAATCATGATGTGATGTTAATTGATATTAAAGTATCATGCTGGTATTTGTCTCTGATCTTTTCAAAAGCTGATAAGGCCCCACCTCAGAGCGTGTTTTCAGACACCGCACTTCAAAGAGAGGTTGATTGGAAGTTTTGGAAAAAACCAAGACGTTTACTTGACGGTCAACTAATTTGAGTGATTTATGACCCTAAAGTTTGCGATTCGGCGAGAACTGGCAAGACAATGACAGCAGTTAACCATGTACAGCTGTTCTTATCACTTTTGAGTCATCCTTTTTTTGGACGCTTGAGTTAATGATTCTTGCTACTTTAACAAACCTAAATTTTGTTGGATTGGGCAGATTCTACCGGAACAAGCATGATCTGATCCTAACAGACTTTGCTGAATGAATTTAAAACACTTAAGATTAATATATGTGTGAGTTAATAGCCAGTTAAGCATAAAATGAAGATTACTATTTTTTCGATATTTTTTATGTCAATGCATAATACGCACCCCCTCATTTTGAACTTGGATTTCGGCATTGGAAGTGCGAACCATACGTGGAGAAATATGGTATATATTAATTCAACTCACTAGAAACAAAGGAAAAGGCTATAATTTAGTGTGGTGTTCGATAATACGTTAAAAACTTTGCATAATTGTTGTCATTTTTATAATCAAATGTAACTATATTTTTAAGGTTATTCTGCATTGCATATTGCTGCAAGCTGGGGTTCAAGACATTGTTTAGAAGTTCTTGTGGAGAATGGAGCAAAATTAAATGCAAGAAATAATCACGGAGAGACTGCTAGACTTGCTGCGTCAAGATACAACAAAGAAGAGTGTGTTCAATTTCTTGATTGGGCAGGTAAGTGAAATTTTTGCAGTGGTGTTAACTTGGTTCTTTATTAAACAAAGCTTTCGTATCATTCAAATCTGATGTAGTTTGTAAGTTGAGATTTAGAGATGATATCGTATGAAATTGCAATACAGGGATAAAAAATTATGTGTTATATAAAGTTTGCTAAGGTTGATATTAGGAAATATCACATATTAGTTATGTATTATCAGATTATTAGCAATGAGTTCTTCTTCTTCAGAGGCTGAAGAATCTGTTGATAGAGAAAAGGCCTTGATTATTAAAAAGAAAAAACAATAATATGGAGAATTGATTTTCAAGTATCAGTTAGGATGAGATTTAATTCAGAACTGCATGTTTGAGACAGATTATTCACAGTTGATTATTGTGTAAATATCTTTCCAGCTAAGCAATTTGTTTTGAAGTTTCATGTAGCTATATGGTTTAAATTGTTAAATGTTGTTTTATATAGTTTGGCATATTATATCAGAACTCGGCATATTACATCAGTATGTTTTTGTTGCGGCATCATTCATATATAAGGACAAAATAAAAAGCTACTAATTAGGTGTTCTGATATTTGCATGAGAAGTAGCCTATTTCAATTGCACGGATTCTTTTCGGAATCTTAGAGTCAGGGGAAATTCGGCATGCTGATATATTATTTTTAAGTTATGTTGCTGAGAGCAAAGTGGAAGGTATGTATAGCTTAGGTACAGTGCGTACTTTCAGAAGTTTGCAGTAGGCTAGAGGAGTGTAGCATAAATCCAAATTGGTATATCGGGTAGAGCTGTAGTTGCGATCGCTAGGAGGCAACCTTGAGCAAGATATTTGATTATAATTTTCTTATTGTAATTGTAGGTTAGCAATGTAGTTTAGGAAGAAAAATTAACAGTTTATTCATCACATAGGCATATTTGATTAGAATCGCATACTATTTATCAATAAAAGTATCTAATAAATTTGAGAACTTGAATTGCATTAGGGGAGCTGTGTACTGTAAGAAGAACATATAGGGTTATAACCTTGCAATATTTACACTAAATAGCCTATCTTATTTTAAACATAATGCCTAAAAATTATGGAATAATACTATTTCGAATAAATTTGTTTGCACCTAGCTGCCAAGAAAACCTTAGAAGATTTCATCGCAGAACTTCGTGAAATGATATCTGACCCAGAAAAACTTCAAGGCATCAAATTATCGAAAGAAGAAAAGGTATGTTTGGAACATGCTATACTAAAATAAATCTTTGTGGTAAATGGAATTTGAATAATTTCATTTTCTGATTTCAGACATCCACTATTTCTACGTGCAATGAGAAGCAAGAATGGCTTGATAACAACCCTGAAGCTACGGTAACAGATTTTTTATCAAAAAAACAAGAACTGGAAAAAGATGTTGAGAATTTATTGGCAAAAATTAATTCACCACGTAAGTATTTTATGACTCAAAAAACATATTTATCTGGAAGCCATTATGTCTAATTATATGGCAGATCATGTCCTCTTATTCAGATATTTCTGTATTCACAGTAGATTTATCGTATAAAGCACGATTGTCATGCTTGAAATCCATTGATTATTGTGTGTGAGCTTACACTTACATAGGTTCCTGTTGGTGATAGTTATGTACCTGGGGACTGTCCTTCACATGGCAGTTAATAAATCTGCTGATGGACTATGGTTACCTTCGCTCTTCAAGTCTAGAAAAATAAATGGTTGGCCATACCCTTGTCAAATTTGAAACGATAATAGCATGAGCCGCTCTGGTATACCCACCATATGGGTTAGGATTTTCGTATTAATCCTGGCTCTTGAGGTAAATAAAGCCAATAAGACTACCTTCTCATGTGTTTGGTATGGGAATAGTTAATCAGGTAGGCTATTCATTACAGCGGTTGCGTGAACCCCCTTTTGGGGATCCGTTTAACCTATAAAAAACAGACATTGGGGGCAAAGAGTCTAGCAATCCTGCACATAATTATTTCCTATGATATTCGAATCTGCGAACCCATGCAGGGTAATCAGAGGTGCGGTAGTATTCCTAACGCTTAGCACGATACGCCACAACACCTCCAAGCCCTAATTAAAACATGCAAGTAATAAATCTCTTTCTATCTCTCTCCAATTTTCATTCACATGGCATGGATATTGGAATCTCATCTCGCCATCTCTATCTACCAAGAGATGAGTGTATGTGACTGGTACCTTAGTAGATGAAGTCGTAATTAGTGATGTTATGTGGGTCGATTCCGTGCTTGTAAATCATCTGCACATTTGCTTCTATCTTTAGGTATTCTATGGATAAGCACTCTTTTAGAAGCAGTTCATTGGCTATGCGAAACTTTGAGAATCACTAGGTATTGATAAAGAGTTGCTAATTCGTGTGAGAACCAAAGCACTTGAATTAAATGTTAGGACAAAAGCTTGTCCGCCCTCGGAAAGCGTGGTAGAAGTTGGATTGGTTATTCAAACTTGTACCAGGGTACCAGAAAGACAATAAGTATGAGACAACTTATTATCACGTCGGGTGTAGGAGTAGTTGACCATTTATTTGTTTCAGATGCATGGACTTGATGATGGAGGAAGCCATAACCGACCAACGGTTACGTGAATCACCCCACGACGACATGCTATCCTCTCGCACAGACAAAAACTTTTAGTGTTGTTTCCTTCGTAAGGAGCAACCTTCTGTAGGTCTCGCCCTTCCGCGATTCGGTTGGCATAAAACAGTTAAGCCGTCGTGCATAAATTCATCTACATTATATAAGTATGCCATTGTCTTGGGTTTGTGCGAACCGGAAATGTGGACATGTTTGACCTTTAACTTTAATATGATACTGAACTTTCTATGACATATGATTTAGACACACATTTATCTTATAAGGTTTGTGTTACAGCGGTTTTAACCTCATCTACTCAGATATCTCGATATTATTTCAATCTACCTTACCAATGAACTTTCATTCCTTTGCATTGTACCTCAGTCCCACGTTCACACTTGTCATCTGTCATTAAAACTGCTACTGTTGACGCACGATTTTTCCCGGTAATCTTTCTTGATCATCTGATCAATTTAAAAGAATGTTTGCCCATAACATTTGAACATTATATTTTGACAGCTCCTAACACAGGAAGCACAGGGAGGAAGTGATTTTCATATCTTCAGCATTACAATTTGACATGGATGTATCTTTATTAAATAAACAGTTTCATGGAAATTGACGTCTAAATACTGTACTGTGAACAATATTTTTTCTGACGTTTTTATTTTATACATATATATGTACTGTTTTTTAAATTTTGGAATATGCCGATACGTTTTGATAAAAAATTATGTTATCATGCAATGTGTATAATTTGTTTGAAGAAATAACGGGTGAAATGCGTCATGAAAATGCGACCATAAGGCATCGTGTCAAATCGAAATTATAGAATGATATTCTTTTTCACGTGGAGCGAATTGTTCATTAATTAGTGTCAAATTAACATTTGTGGATGGACGTGTCGCTTGCACTAAATTGTGGACTCTGTCGAGGTTGCATTGCCATCAAGTTCTATTAGTTTGGGTAGAAATATGGTGAGAACAAATTGTGCATTAATTCGTGTCAGATTAACAACCGAAACTATGTATATGTATTCATTTGTGTATGAACGTGTCGCTTGCACTAAATTGTGTACTCTGTCAAGGTTGCATTGCCATCCAGTTCATTAGTTTGGGTAGAAATATCGTTAAAACGAATTGTGCATTAATTCGTGTCAGATTAACAACCGAAACTATGTTTATGTATTCATTTTTGGATGAACGTGTCGCATGCACTTGAATTGGGAACTCCGTCAAGGTTGCATTGCCAGTCCATTAGTTCGGTCGAAATATAGTGCTTCCATGTTGCTATAAATCTTTTATTTTTTTTCTCTCGCACATCGATATTCTGATTTAAACACACGCTTAGTTCGATTATGAATCTTTTCTTAATATTTACCGATGACCTGTGTCCCGAATGTTACTTTTTTTTTTAAATAAAAGCTGTTATTATTGAAGGGTTTGGCTCAGGTCGAAAATACTTCATCTGAACAACAAAATATCAAACAAGATAAAATATATACAGGGTTCAAATTCAGCAGGGTCATGTAATATACGCGTTTTATGAGCACACCTTGGATTACCACGGCTTAGTTATTTCAAAGCGTTGCGTTGTAAAAATGTTTTCATTATAAATAAAGTTATACTTAAGAATGACTTCCCGTATTAAATTTGCGTTCTTTCTATGTGTTGTTACTTACAAATATGGTATATTGCTGAAATCTCACGCGGATGGCGTTTCTTGAATTCCACACGATTCCGAATCAAAATTTAAGTCTTGATTTTTTTGAGAAATTTTTAATTTCTGCATAATTAACTAAGGATCGTTTTCAAATACCTTATTCCGTACGAAACGGATTCGCCACGCCGCCCATCTTAATCTGTTTTGTAAATCACCGTGTTTTTCGTGCCCACTGATCAACCAGATAAGAGATTGAAAGGAAGATAAAGATAATGTCTTGCTATTGATATAAACTAGATTGAGTTATAAATATCTTAGTGGCACTATCACCAAACATTTAATTTTTTGATGTGAAACGCCGAATGACTTTTGAAAGTTAATCGCCACTCCTTTTTAGGGCACTCATTATCATTACCGAATATTCACTACCGCTCGCGAGGTTCCATTTATACTCCGACATATTGATTGATTACCGTTCCACGAAGAAATTCTCAGTAAATATTTACCCTTTGGCGCACACTTGAGATTTATTAATTTTTTCATTTACCAAATGCAACCACGTTTGTTGCCAATGTCACCACAGAACGTTAAATTTTTGCCAAGGAAGACTGCCTACCACCTACAGTGTTTGGCATGTCTAGATATAGAATGCAGAAAAGCACCAAACATGCGATTTTTGTAGATAAAAGCATCAAGATATTTTACACAAAAGAATACGAAAAAAACTATCAAGGTCCCGCGATAGCGATCACTTTCGGAACTCTCACGATGCATGGACGTTTAACTAATAAACCTCTTGCTATATCTTATTTGACACTCCAATTTTTTCGCAAGACTTTTTTATGATGTGAATAAATGGACGTATCGCGTGCACATACTGCCTGACGTTGTTGTAAATATTTTCTTTGCATTGTCCAACTCACGAATCATGTTTCAGTTGTACGTCTGGAAAATCGAAACGATTTATAAACAGTACGCACGATTTCGTGTATAGTATTTATTTACTTTAGATAATTTTGCTTGTTACGTTTCTTTACACCTTATAAGAGAAAATGTAATTAGGCGTTAACACATATTTCAAGCTTGGTTCATTTGTTTCAAAGTTATGATGCCGACCTTGTCACATTATAGCTAACAAATATGTACACGGGGACTCCATACAAAGAAAAATTTAATAAAAATATCATAAAATGATAACTTGGTTGGTACCCCTTGCGACATAAGTGAGTGAATAATAGTAATATAAATATGAGCCGAAATTCTCCACAACTTTTCGGTGAAATTTGAAAACTTATCTATAAATCTTGTATTAAGAGATATTTTGAAATTTGCTTCACAAGCAAGATTCCGTTCTTTTGTGTTTTATCGCATTACCACGTATCTATACACTGAAGTCAAATTCCATACATGCTTTAATGATAAATTAATTGAAATTTGATGTAAAATTTTGGTATTTCGATTGACATATCATCTCCTAATTAATTGTTTCCAAACTTTTGTGACGTACTTTCTCGCATTATATCTTACTTTCCGTACGACTGTTTTGTCTGCGTTTACCGAGAAATCTTCGATTATTTTCTTGGTGAAAGTAAAAGCCGCAACACATTTGTCAGAACGATACAATAATATAAACTAACGGTAGATAATGTAGATGAAACTGACTTTTCGAGCATTGTCACCATTTGTATATTGATGATTTCTTAGAACATCGCAGGTTTTAATGTTTCGCGCGGAATTTCTCGTCATTAAACAATTGGTAAGATTTGATATTATTGATGAGATTTTATGATATCAAATTTAACGGTCCATTTCCTCTAGGTATCAGGAAGTAATTTGGCTACATTTTTTTTTATCAAATGTTCGCTCATGAGTTATCAGTTATTCTTGTGGCATGAACTTCCAAAAATAGCTTCGCTTTAATTTCTCCCTACCCTGATTGATTTTTAGAAGCTACATTAAACCAAGTTTTGAAAATAAATCTACATAAACATTTCTACTTAAAGCTCAACAGTAGCGTTTTATTTTGCACCAGACTTGAGTTCAAGTATAACAGGAGAATCATCGTATTTTGTAAAGTTGGTTCAGCTTTGTTTGTTATTATTTTTTCAAATCGTAGCCACACATAAAGACCACTTTTATTTTCTATTGTTTTCGAGTTTGCAACTCTTCTGCTTTTTCGGTCCAATTTTCGATTACTATAGCTAAAATAAAACTACAGCAAGGACAAAACGTTGTAATTGGTTTATTTATATCAAAATCAGAGAAACAAAACTAAAAACCGATTTTTGAAAAATTGAGGATTGGCTGGATTTCGATTGTTGCGCCGATTTCAACTAGTTTCTGGTTATCCGTTATTACGAAAAGTTACTTCTATACTTATACTTCTAAAGGGTTCCATTACATTTGAACCCACGTACATTTGAACCCATGACAATTGCACCTGTATGCTATTGCACCTATGGGATTTTTTTTGTTTCACGGATAGTTAAACCCATACTAACCCTAACCCATGAGTTTTAGCACCCGCATATAGATTGAACCCGTGGATATACGCATGGGTTCAAATGTATATGGGTTCAAATGTACGGTCACCCTTCTAAAGTACTATACCATTGAACATTCATATCATCGAGCGCGTCTTGTTGAGCTATAATCTACATGCAAAGGTTGGTTTGAACCCCACGTGATGGAGCATGAATTGCGGTAAAATATTGACTCCATTAATTCCTGAGAAAATGTGAACAAAATAACTGGAAAGTAGAGGACAGATACAAAACATACGCTTCTATGAAAAATTAAAATGATCTTCAATTAATGGTTATTCTCCTTGGTATCGACATCGTTGTTTACATAACGCGGATCTATAGACCCTTTTACAAATTATAATGGGACAGCAATTGCCTCTGTCTGTTACTGCTGGACCACTCGCTAATTGTATATGGTTGTACATGGAAATATATCATTTAGATTTGATATCATTATCTTGATATTTTGTCATATTTCCCTCGTCTTCCCGGGAACCGATATTTAACTTCATACTGTGTAACATTTCAAAATGGCGCCATCTTATGGAATTCCCGTTAGACGTGAGGATAATGCTCATAATACGGGACGTATAGTCTACGGTTAACGGTAACTTACATTCAAAGATACGTAGATTTTGTTTTTTAATGTGTTACCTCCATTCTTTATGATAAATACAATTACCAAACTCATGTTCGGGTTATAGAAGATACTTTTGTAACCTAACTTATTGAATCCCTATTTTTTTACAATTGCTCAATATATTTTGCTTAAAAGCTATCAGTATTTGAGTAAGGTAAAAGTTTGTTTATAAACTCGGCTATAATCATGACTTGCCAGTCATCTTATGGAATTCCTTCAAAACAGCGTTTTCTTCGAATAGATAATTTACAGGTCAAGCGATCACATTTAGGTAAATTGGAGGACAGGTTATCGCCTGGACTCTTCTATAATATCATAAACATTGCCTTGCCCACAGGGGTTTAAGCCATGCTATATTTTAATTGTCTACGTGACTTCGATACGGAACAAAATGACGGCTGTATTGTGGAACGTGAAACGGGGTGACGTCACTGATCCTTAACAGTTTTCTCGAACGTTTTTGATATTAAAACTAAAAACGATTTAAAGTTACCTTTTTCTTTTGTTATGATGGATTATCTTTATTCCCGTCATGATGGGGACATTGAATAACTTTATTAAATTTAATTATTCTTCCTAATTGGAACATCCTTCTCGGCGCGTTCTACGAACGCATTTTAATTTCGATCGAGGAATATTGATTTTTGGGGGTTTGATTGACAAAAAATATTGTTTCATCAAATTTGCTTTGTACTTTTATTGCAAATGCTAATATTATATGTTGCTATATTTGTTTACTGTTCTCGGTTTGTAAACATATATAGTAAATCCTTTTATTAAATAAGTATTATACTGGAATATATATTTAACTTATACTATTGCATTTTTTTAGGTTTTCACATTTAAATTTGAATGTTTCTAATACCTCTCGCTGACTGGTTAATAGAATTCACGCAGGACAATAATCCTATACTTTTGTGTTACTACTTTTTATGTCAACAGTTCGTAAATGATTCTAAATTGGTATATATACGCACTTTTCCTTCACGCACCTTTCCTCATTAAGCGAGGCAATGTCGGAGTAGGCAGGTAGGCACTTGTTATCACAGAAGAGACGCGAGATTTCATGTGATTGCGGTTCAAATTCGAGTACGAGCAGATAGAATTAGGTGTGCATCCGGAATTTGAAACATTTTGAATTGTGTAAAACGTTATAATTCGGGTTACCTCTTACTTTGAAAGTTAAGATTAAACTCATTCAGGTCTGAGATGAAATATATTACAAGTAGTTTCACTCATCAGTCAAACTGGATTAACAGACGTGAAAATACTTTTGATAAATATCGAGTGAGATGAAGTGATAATGCACACCTGATGATTCATTGAACAAATCAGCTAATTTATTCGGTTTGCTGTCGATGCAAATTTTCCCGTGAAAATTCTCTAATTATCCAATGTTATACGCCAGTCAATCAAGTCCGCGCAAGAGATATTTTCAGTTTGCCAACAAACAATGAAAATCGGATAATCTTGCCATCTCTTTTTTACTTCCGCATGTTTTCAATTTTTGTTGACACTGATTCATCATCATTTCTATCGTACTACATTCGATGTAGATGTTTCCAGGAATTTTTTACCTCGAGTTTTCTTCAATTGAGAACCAACGCTTGCCTTCCTTCTGATTATTAATTATATACGCTAAAGTCTGACGAATACCACTAACTGATATTCGTGCGTCCCAAAAAATGTACTAATGTGTAACTTTCAATTACACCTGGCACAATTCTGGTACATATAGTAGACGGGTATTCCTTAGTAAGCAATTTAAATCGTCCAAAATTGGAAATTCTTCCCGCCAATTTGTTTATGTAAATTTTCGTGTCTGGGATTTCTTGTTTGTTGGTCAAATTTTCCCTAATCTACATTGATCATCAGAAAACACGTCAAGAAGCAGTGCTTCCCAGAAACATATCTGTTCTACATGGGTGTCTTCGTTATAATATCACCGCAACAATTCCCGCAATGTTTAATGAATCTTGTGGCTTTTAAAGACTGCTGGTGACATTACACGAATTTAAATTTATTGCTGAACAGAGCTGCTGAATTATTCTCTCATGCTTCCTATTACTGTATAAGGTATTAGGGCAGAGAATAGGTCTGTATTAGGCTTCTCTCTTGAAGCCTTTCAACGTCCATTCCTTGTCAATCAACTGTCCGCATGCAAAGCTGTTTTTAAATGCCTTAGATAACAAACAAGTCGATATTTCGATCATCATTAGATAAGATAATCTGTGATAATCAGATTTCACAGTCTCCTTTCCGATATCTGTAAAAACAATGGTAATCCGGAATTTTAATTTGATCCCTTCAGCGTTCAAGGCTTGACGGTTCAAAATTGATGTTTGTGATATAAATAATATCATGCATTCCAAGCTTCACACTCACTTCTTTGGCGCCTAGTATTTGGAAAACCCTGCTATAGGATTCCATATATATTTTGTTAAAATAGAGTGGTTGGCATCTGACGCCAGCATTCCGCTAAACGATCGTATAAGACGAGTGGGAAAGAGTTCAACAATCATGTCATATATGCTTATTTCTTGTTTTGAGACTGCATTCTCACATATGTCTATGGCAGTCATTTACCAATCAGAAAAAATGAATGTCTCCCTTTGCCATTTTGGCAAAAATATTTGTGATTTCATAGAACGCGACTCTGGACACCCATCACCGGTCCCTATCAGGTAGCACGTCAGAATAAAATTAATGGGCCCTGTAGAACTAGAGACGGTAATGACTGCTGTAACGAATTTTCAGTCAAATAACGTCTTTGCTCCTCATAATAAATGCATACAATATCTCTGAATATTTTGGTCACTGATAACTAAATGCGATTCTAAGTATATTCTTTAGCTATGTGTAAATCAATATATCAACGTGGCAACCTTCGCCAACCTTGCATCACCTTGTCTGTTCATATAATACTGCATTTTCTCTTTTTATTAAGATATATATGTGTATATCAACCCATAATGAATAAATGGACAAGAAGTAGATGATTCCAAGCTTACCTACACTAGACTTGTATTGCCACGTTGCAATCATGACGTTGTCCATAATTTTATTCCGATTTGCCTTCAAGCTTTCCGGTTGAACTGAGAATATTTTAGTTCTTTTACGAGTTCGGGGATGTCTGCGTTTACCAATTGAATATACCCACTGCCCATAGGCTTCAGTTCCTTTATACAACTTAATGTAAAGTAGGCAAACAAATTAGTTACCTCTATATTGGTATACATACGCTTCTGGAGCGACGATTGAAGCGAATATAACTGTTATTCGATAACGTTGAGTACTTAAACACGTGATATTGGAGATAATGGCAAATGCGTTTACCGATTATTAAGTTCCGGATAAGTATAAGACACGCTCTATGTATTCCCATCGCATTACTTCTCCAAATGCTGGTTGCTAACTGTTAAAATGCTGCATAAGTCACTATAGGATGTTTCATCAGAGCTCAAACAATAAACTTTCATTCATCGAATGCGGTCCCACAGAAAGCTACTACCTCCATATTCAAATTTAATAAGAAATATACGTGATGTTGAGGTTATTTTATTGAAATTGTTCCTGCCGTTTTTATTCGGCTGGCGGTACATAAGGTGCAGAAAACGAAAAGTAAAAATACAAAAAAAAAGCATCAATGTAATAGGCAAATCGAACAACAACAGTAATACAAATATAAATAAATCAATCAATAAAGAAAATATATTTTTAATTACAGTCGGAACAGAAATCTGATTTGAAGTTGATAGGTAGTCTTGTCGTTTAGAGTCAACGGAGTTGTAGGCCGCATTGGGTTCACAACGAATTGTATATACATCATTATATTTCGCGTCAGTCTAGTGTACTTATTACAAACACTGCATAGAATGCATGTAGACTAGGATGTTTCATAGAGGGAAGTTTTAAACGGTATTTGGCAATACGACAAGCTTTTCCTATTACACCAGTGATTGCTCTATTGACCAATAAATAAATTTCTGTGTGTTACATAAGTATACATTAGTCATGATAAAATGGTTTACATCGACTGAACATGATGAGATTCCTAACTCAAACGATAAATTGCAGAACAACTGATTTCATAGGTAATATATGTTGACCTATTGAAACATAATAAAAAATAACGAAAACGATACATCACAGTTTTATACCTCTACTAAAATAATCACTCCACTCCCATCAACCATTAATTAGTTTTTGCATCAAAATCCGGCGTTTTGCCAATTGACTTTTGTGCCCTGTTCTTCTATCACGCCAACTGCGGGACTTCAGTCTTTACGATGTCATAACAATCGTTTATTCGTTTTCAGTTCACATCGTTTGCCTCTTTTGTAATTCGTATCGAAGTAACGCATCGCTCAAAGGATTCACATAATATATTCGGGCGTCTACGACGAGCTTTGCCAATTCACTGTACATCGGTAGCATCATTCCTTTGATAAACCCTTCTTGTGAGTCTGTGACGTCGACCTAAAAGGGAAAATTATATCATTAAATTGGTTGCGCGTCACTAAAATTAGCTACAATAATATACAAATTCCAATGACGCCGCATATTAATAAACGCTTCATGATATCCGTAATGCAACATTTTCTTGGGAGTTTTTCGAATCTAGTTTGCTATAATATATACAGATTGCACTACACCATAAATTTTATACTAATAGCGTTAATTACTTGCTGGATATTTGGCTGACAATGGCTTATTAAATTTTGGTTGAATCGTCATGTATTTTTTGTTACCGTTGACCGGTAGTGATAACTTCTGAAATCTTCAGCAAACAAATTAGAGGAGAAAATTTCTTATCAAGATTGTATGCGATAAGTTTTCAATCTTAAATGCCACTCAAGCTTCCAGAAATAGTTATTATAAACAATATATAAAATGTTACCGAAAGGTCGTCGAGTTAGGAAATTAAAGCACTGACTACTTTACAATTAAATTGAGTAGTGTCACTCTTTATGATTTTTAAAAAGAAGTATCATATGCCCAATTTTATAAATTTTATTTCTTGAGAATTTGCATATTATTCCTGATTTTTTTTCATACGTATATCTGTTTGGTATTTTATCATTTATTGTCACTTTCTTTGTGTTCTAAATTAAGCCAGATTTGCAGTATTCGCATTTTCGAAAAATAAATGGCGTTATTTGTTATTGATAAGGCTGTGATTGTTGTTAAAATGTTTGCCCAATGTTAAGTTCTTTGCTAATAATAGAAACAGGACGACGTAACAACGCAACGGTCACGAATTAAGTTCTGAACTATCGACAGTGGCGGTCTTAACCTACCATAGAAACCTCTCCTACATATATAATAAAAGTTGTGGGTACTTATTTTATTGCGTTATTAAATTGTAATTTGAAGACGTATTTCAACGAAAACGTTAAGCAACTATTTGTCATATGATTCATAAGACTCAAAAATGTGGTGAAACTAAATCTCATGATAACAATCTACTTTTCCCAGAAATCAGTCGGTGCGAAATATTTAACATGGTAATTGAGAAATGGTATTTTATTAGACTATAACCTGTTATGATTGATTTTTTTAGCTGTTGACCATGAGATGTAAACTAATATATATTTCTATTTACCTTTTCGGGATCCATGTACGGTGTAACGGGTAATCTTTCTCTTTTCTCCCGCGCACTCTGTTCATAATATTCAGAAAAGAGTCGTTCAACCCATGGCGTTGCTATGTTTTCCGGTCGTACTTCATTCGATACATCCGCACATTTTATGATGATCTTTAGCAAACTCAGAACATGAGATCTGAATTAAAAATCATAACATAAGTATAAATCATACTCTACGTCTACTTGACGTTAACTAATAGATTTCATGATTAATGTTTGTAATGACACTATACATCTGAGAGATTAACTCGATATTGTATATATCGTGCACAACTGTAAATCGTATTACATCAATCAGTGTGATTATGTTTGTTGTATGTTTCCGTTAATACCGCAAGGATTACCAACGAGTCACGTTTTCCAGATATGATTGAAATACAATGCAAAATATGTCGATTTCATTTTGTATGTTTATTTGATGCAATTGACAAGTCTTAAGTCGTTTTAATCTGATCGAAATATTTTGTGATGCACCTGACAGTGGTAAAAATTCTATCTTGTTTTTTTAGTACGTAAATCTGTATTTCCAAGAAAAAAAATTTACTGAAAAGATTATTAATACTGATTTATTCTACCGTATCATGAAATGACACATCGCAAAGGTGCGGCGCAGATACCAATACTGATTAGATCTGCTATCTATCAGGTCGACCACACATTTAATCTCACACTACCGCATTGTTTACCATTTACTTTCTTCCTTGTCTAGAAAACGCAAAAATCCGGACCTCGTGAGTTGTTGATGATAAATCGATAAATGTGTTTGTTTTTAAGACTCGCTTTTATGCACTTCATTTCTTAACCCACACGATGAAAATGGCAACTGATTTAGAGTCGAGATGAACGGCTATGGTGTATTTTAGATTTTTTGGATTCTCCCGAGATGACCAATTATCCTATGATTTGCGTACGTGCATATATAACATCGGGTCTGATTTAAATATGTTGTTGTATATAAAAATATGTTGTATATAAAAAAAATTGCATGATGTTTGCGTAACACTTTCTATTTTTTTTCGCTAACTTATTTAACCTTTTCCTACCTGTTTTTAAAATCGAATCCTTCTGCCGTGTTTCTCTTGAATTGTTCCATAATATCTTTATGCAAAGCAAGGTCAGTGGCAAGTATCAATTCCCTAGTGCCATTCAGTATCTCATCTCGGTTTGAAACATTTCGAAATATGTTTCGCTCTTTGTTTGTTAGTATTCGACAGGTAACAGCAAAATGATGTTGTTCTAAATACATAAATATGAAAATAATGGTGTGAAATCGAATGTATATTTTTCTGTGCTTTTTATCTCATAAACAAAAAAACCACCCACCTAAGATACTTTGGTAATTGTAAAGAATAGCCAGCGGGGAGTGTGCGTGACAGTGATAACCGTTATTGAGTCCCGGATGATCAACATCGTGGCAGACGGCTCCTGTAAGTATCATCCCAAGATCATCGACAGAGAGAAGATGGCGAAGCTTGAGTTTACAGATCATACTGTAGGTCATCTAAACATTAATAATAATCGGTAATACATATAGATTGAAATATCAACAAGGTTACAAAGAAGGAATTCAGCAAACCAAAGTCATATACAAGAGGAAATAGTCTCGAAATCAAAATTGTTTATTTCCTGACCGCAGCAACCAAAATAATCCAAACCGGCGACCGGGAAGAGATCGTTCCAAAGATTTTAATAAAGTTGTACCTATCGCGTGGAATCGCTATTTAGATCAATAACCAAGTGAATTCCATTCTACTTTCCCGCTTCTAATCTCAACCATATCATCAATATGAAGCTATAATTGCAGGGGTGTGCTGTGGCTAAATCCGTCCCCATATATTTTGTTTCGTGACGTCATACGCACGAGAGTGATAATTTGGTCATTTCAGTCGAATGCATCCCTGTGGCATTAAGCTTTTTCTTTATTGCAAATGTCAACTACTTTATGATATAGATATTTCGTTTTTTAATATAAAAGGTGGAACGTGACTTTTTAAAGATAAAGTTATTGATATGAGGATATTAATGGATTGGTGACGCATGTAGATATACTGTAAGGTCTTATGACAGTCGAATTCGATATGGTGGCGAAATATTTAATATAATATGAGATTACAATACATTGATTCGTAATTTTATTCAACAATATAATTATTTTTACGCTGCTAATTTTTTTTAAACTTAAAGTCAATTCAACTCAGAATTTTTTCATGAACTCCATGTGACCGGCATTTTTAATCCAGCGTAGCAAACTTATGGCTATACTGACGCCTTGACGCAAATATAAGGCTGAGAGATACAATATGAAATCGTGTAGATTAAATATAAATAATTATGTCCGATATAGATTTTAAATAAACGATCGCAAAATAGATTAAATGATTTGAATTTACAAGAGTTCACTTTTCAGGTTTTGTCAACAAACTTTTGGATCATTACATGTTAAAATGTCTAAATGACTCTTATTATGCTAGATATATACCTGAGTTACGCAGAAACAGTGTTTGAAATTGTGATAAGGATTGTCTTGATATCGTTCTCTCACTCCTAGCAGAAACATTCTTAGGGTGGCTCTTGGAATTTTCCACGCTCTGGTTACTCCCAGTTCGTGGTACATATACCTAAAAAGTAAATTGGTGTAACAGTACAATACAGTATTACAGTTAAGCGATAATTTTGTTCTATTTTTCTGTTTACAATATATATTTATGCAAAACTTATTTGTCTATAATGTAGACTAAAAAGGTCGTTGCATCTACTTACTCTAAGTGATCGACCATGGCATCTCTTCCGAGTCGCCATACGTCGAAATCCGGCTCTGAAAGGCGATGCATGGATTCGTCTGGGTAAGAAACATCTTCCATTCCCGGCATTGTGTCATCTCCTATTGACGAGATTGAACTAGCAGTGTCGTCACTGCCATAATCTTCTTCTTCTTCTTGATCGATTCTATCATCATGTAACAAAGGATCCTGGTCGTTGATGTTAATTTTCATTTTGTCGCTGATGTTGCCTTCTTCTGATTGCGATAAGGTTTCCACGTTTCTCCCTCGGATTTTTTCTCCGTTATGTCTAGATTTCTGCCTTCTATTTCCTTTACGATTATATGTGCCTTTGTTGGATTTTTCTGTCGAGAAATCGTCAACTGCAGTTTTGTTTTCTTTTTCTAGATGGCCTATTAATTCAACTTTGGTTGTTGTGCTAAAATGTAAAAAAGAATTTCGATTAAAATATATCGTTTTCATAACTGCAACTGATTACGTTAGAGATACCTTCATATTTCTAAGTATTAAAACTAACTACTAAGTGAAGACGACGTTCCGCCAAGACTCTCGCTTCAGAATGTCGTCTCGACAACATAAGCGCGATATTTGTAGAGCATTAGCCGAAATCGTACTTGCGCGCTAATGACTCTAATGCTATTTTCAAAACACTCTGTAAGAAGTATAACCGACAAATTCTTGGCGACGAGAAGGCGGTTCTAAGTCAGTGTACTCATTACGCAAAATGACATTAGTCTATGAACAGCGACAAAAGGAAATATTGACAGCAATCCATAATAAGATATGAGGTGATGACAGATTTTACCGCGTATGGAGACGGTTGAATTGACTTGCGTATGAACACAAGTCAAGTGTCCGAAAAAGCATATTTAACAAACAACGATAATGAGGCATTGAGCATTTTGAAAACATAGTTTCGAGGCGTCAAATTTCCAAATTGGATCAACATATTTGGATTTTTAACTCCTAAAATATTTAACCTACGAAATATTTTAAATATTTGATATTTGAATTTATTTTTACCTAATACACATTTTTGCTAAGTTCAAGTGTTTCCAAGTTTCTAACAAACTGACGCCTCGAGACAAAGCATATCAAATAATAATTTCGTGACATTTTATTTCAACAAAAAATATTTATTATATGCGGAAAAAAATTTTGGTGTACAGGTTAATATTTACTGACAAAAGATAGCATCTCCACGAGCTTTCATCGACTTTTATCATTTCTCTCGGAGCGGCATTTCATCTAACACTAATCGACAATTAAGCTATTTTTATACCACACTTTTCTCCAATCCCAAATGCCGTCCGAAAGCACTTTAGTGAAATGTGGAAATAGAAACAAACAGAAACGCAAATGAAGTACTTACTTATTAATAACTATTTTCATTTTTCACAATACACATCAAATATCTAATTAGCGAGTTGCTTAAAACCCTTTTCTATTTAATGGCGGTCATTACGAGATCTGATAATTAATTAATTCAATAATTTATTTTTATTACAAAAACGCATTAATTTTTCCGACATCGTCATATATTAAGTCAATAATTTAATTAATTTCTAGCATTTTAAACAATTTTAAATTTTTTCAATTTATTTGCCAGGTTATAATTTTTTGCGATATATACCGACACTTATACTCATGAACTATGTGTATTTAATCCGCTTCATTTCAATTTATTATTCATTTCAAAATTTGTTAGAATTTTGTAAAGTCACATATTTTTGTATTTTCACGTAACTCATTTATACATTTGCTTTCGGATATGAGTTGCTATGCCTTCGAAATCATCGGTATTATTATTTTCCTAATCTACTCACTTTTGGATTTTTCGCATTTGATTCCACTGTTTTTCTTCGTCGTAACATACGGTGTTAACGGCAACGCATAGCATTATGTATTCCGCCTTCGTATATACAACTGTTATTTCGCTTTTCGATCGAACTATTTGACAAATAAACACTATTACTTATAGACCCTCAGTGTGCAAAACCAATATTATTCTGTTTCGCCGCACACGTTGCCAGTGGTTATATCGTTCGGAGAGCAGCGAAGGAAAAAAGGCTTTCAGCGCACTTCCAAGAAAATAAGCGCGACATCGCGCCAAATCTTTTTCTATCACCTGCCTTAATAAATGTAACTAATATTTACCCAAAGAAAAACAAAACTTAAAGTTTTACTATACCAATGTGTTTATATCACCATTAATGTTATATTATTTTAATTATCTTCTGGAGAGAATGAAAATCATGACGTCGAAATTAATTTTTTTGATGTTTTCTTAGATTTGTTGATTTATGTTTAATTAACTAAACTAACTAAAACAAGATTCTTGTTTACATTGAGTAGTGAGAAATCGCTACTTCGGTTGTTTCACTTATTATCACCAGCACGGATTTTAGCATAAAATCTTATCGCATCCGGGAAAAATTCCAAAAATATCTTGTCGTATTCGCAACCTCATGCACTTGGATCTTCAGATAGATGAGCAGTATACCGTAGTTTTGCTTGGTTACATGTTATTTGGGAACTAGTAAAATGCGACTTGATTTATTTGAATAGAGCATTTATTTGTTTTGAGTCAACTATTATTTGCAAAGATATTAATCGCAACACAATGAACTTAAAGCTGTTATTGAATGCAGTTTACGTCCTGAAATCAATCGACATATCGGTTGATCGGATATGTCTAAAATTGTGCGAAAAAGTCGACGGCACCGCCCAAATTATTGGGAAATCGTGATAAAATGATGTTTACGTTATCTGGATTACCGGTCAATTTATGCTCTGAAGCTCTGATGTTTTTAACCAACGTTATAAACCAGCACCACAATCAAGAAAATCACCCTATCATGCTCACCTGTTTTTGGAGTTTTATTTATTTGTTTTTATTATTCCGCGCTTTTGCTATTGATCGTTATCAAATTTTGTTTACAAAACCAACCGAAATTTAAAGTAAAATCTGTTGTGTTTACTGCTTAGGCGCTAACTGGAAATACATTTTTGGGCTTTTTGGAGCAATTGCAAAACATATTTAGGGTATTCAAGCAAAATTCGAGTTCTAAATTATTGCAGGAACAGAGAATGTTCCCAGAATTCAATGGGTACCGACTTGATGTGATTCTAACTATAGACCTGTTCTGTATTCTGATATACTGGAAATGATTTCGTTTTCATGCGATTGAGTTTTTGGGAGAAAATAATATCAGTCTTTGGAAGTATTTAAATGACCAATTAGGTGCCAAATTTTCGGAATGTGAAAGTTGCATCTTCATATCAAAATAACACATTCGCGCATTAAATATTGATTCCGCAACGAAAATATACAAATCCACTGCCTTTTTTTAGCATGTGATAATGATACCATAAACCTGATTCATCTTGGTGCTTAATTAGGTACACGTTATAGCTTAGAGCATATAAGAATGAATGAGGTGTTAAACGTAATCTAGAAAGAAATGCAAACATGTATCCTACGAGAAAAATATAGTTCTCGGATCGTCTCCGAGAGCGTACACCGTTTGTTGAACCCTTGCTCGTTGCAATTTCTTTCTTTTCATAAGAATTATTGGCATTTCCTTGTGTAATTATCCCTCCATTTTTACTCAAAATCAACCATTCGTAATAAGGAATTAGTATGAAATAATTGCCAATTGTGTGTGACCTCATGTAAACTAAAACTCGAATCTCATAAATATTGCGTCAATATGAATGTTGAAAAACTTGAAAAGTACATTTGAACCAGTTTGATTTGGTCAAATTGTTATGAGTTCGGCCCGAAATATTAAAAAGGTATCTTTAAATATGTAAAGCGTTGTTTGGTAATTCTGGACTGGTGCGGTTTTGTGGTACATTAAAACAGAGCAAGATTAAAGTGCCGACGTGATTTTTATCCTGTTCAAAACATATTAGAGATTCCCGATTTCACGCTTTCAATCTATTCATATCGTGATGCAGGATCATGTTTTTTATAATGTGCGTACATTTTAGTGGGGCGACAGAGTATCCGCGGTATTTGTTATCTTTTTGAAAATCTAAAAACATTCTTTGGTTATTTTTATCCGCAATACCGCATTAACGTCCATCTAATAAACATCAGCAGCCATTCATAATTTCCATCACTAATGGGTTTAGATAAAGTTTATTTGTAGACATAATTGTGGCTATTTCTTCTGTTAATATATACATACTGACTACTTTGTGCAAAAAATGGCGAATTCAAGTTCGTTTCTTTTTTTCAAGTTTAATGCAAATATATCTTCTTCGCTCCGTCTGTCTTCCTATCCGATCATCTCAATATCAATCGTGTATTAGGTATTTTCTTCATTTCCAGTGCAGACTTCTATTATTTTTATTTTTCATATAATTTCTTACATGAGTACGAAAGAAGAGTTGAAAATAGCAGACGCACTTTTTCCCTTATCGGTTGAATTGTAGAAGCAATTCTATGATAACATCGAGCTCGTTGTTTTTTGCGAAATTTGATGATGGCCAACAACAACGTCCCAATTTTCAGATTTTATTCATCTTAACTTTGACATTATAACTATGAATATCACAGCAGTTAAGATCTTGTCTATGTATTCCACATTATTTTGTTGTTAGAAGGTGTAATTTGGGGATAAAACAACCATTTCCTTTGTGACATGATAGTAATATAAGCAGATATAATGCTTAATGCAGACTGATAAAAATCATATAATGGCAAGATGAAGGTGTGGCTTAATTACAAGCAAAACGTAGGTTTTGGGTAATTTGATGTGCTGATAAATTTTATTGTCAAAATCACTTCAAATTCACTGGACATTTCGCACAAAGTGCACGTTTCTAATACTAGTTTCAAGGGGCCAAGGTTAAAATGTTCATAGGCCTAAAATTTAAGCGGCATAATCTGAACTGACGAACGGCTTAGGGGCAACAGCGAAATTACGGAAATATGACGTTATTAATGAAGGTCAAGTTAGACGAATGACGGAAGATTTGACTTTTACTCAGATTTAGACATGACATATAGGTCCGTATGGGGAATTTGATTTTATCGTTCTTTTCATTCAACGTAATTTAACCAAACTTAAAACATCCGATCACCCTTCCCATATATCTATCACGAATATCGCGCTAATGCCTTGTTTCTATTCGATGAAGATCTGCAATCTGATAAAGTAATTACTGCTATATTTGATTCTCTTTTCGCATTCAATTTCCTTGTTAACTTGTCATCATTAAAACAAACTATGGTTCTATCTATCTAGCGCCATTGCTCATAAATGAAGCATAGTGTCAGCACTGTGTCGTTGAAGAATCCATTTCTTGGAAATAGTTTGTGCTCTTCGATTTATATAATTCGATAAAAGGATTCTATGCTAAGCAATTTATTAAACCAAAATTTTTATTTATTTGTTTAGTTTTTAT